CTTATTGCCCTTTGCAAAGGGCTTCTGGTTTAGCTGCTTTTCTCTATCAACTTTCTATTCTCTATTTCATTTATTTCCACTCTAATCTTTTTAAAAAAATATTTATTTATTTGAAAGAGTTACACAGAGAGGAGAGGCAGAGAGAGAGAAAGAGAGAGAGAGAGAGAGGCAGAGAGAGAGAGAGAGGTCTTCCATCCACTGGTTCACCCTCCAGATGGCTGCAACGGCCGGAGCTACACTGATCTGAAGCCAGGAGCCAGGAGTCTCCCATGCAGGTGCAGGGCTCAAGGACTTGGGCCATCCTCCACTGCTTTCCCAGGCCACAGCAGGGAGCTGGACTGGAAGTGGAGCAGCTAGGACTAGAACCAGCACCCATGTGGGACGCCGGCACTGCAGGCGGCTGCTTTATCCACCACACCACAGCGCCGGCCCCTCCACTCTAATCTTCATTCTATCTTTCCTTCTAGTTGTTTTGGTCTATTCTTCTGGTTTCTCAAGGTGAAGATTAGGTTCTTGACTTGAAATCTTTTTTTTTTTTTCAGTTTATTTATTTACTTGAAAGGCAGAGTGACAAAGAGAAAAAGATCTTCTGCCCCACATGGGTGCAAGCACCAGGGCTGGACCCCATCAAAGCCAGGAGTCAGGAGCTCCATCTGTCCCCGACACGGGCTGGCAGGGCCTCAAGTCCTTGAGTTCTCATCCACTGCTTCCCACTGCGCTCTCAGGGCCTGGCTGGGAAGTGGTGCAGCTGGGACTCCGACCAGTGCTCCGACATCAGACGCCAGCGTGGCAAGTGGAGCTTAACCTGCCGCACAACCCCAGCCCCGCACTTTGATTTGGCTTGGTCTGTTTGTAAAGACTTATCTATTTATTTCAATGTCAGAGTAGAGAGGTCTTCCCTCTGCTGGTTCACTCCCCAAGTGGCTACAACAGCCATGGCAGAGCCGGGAGCTCCCTCTGGGCCTCCACGCGGGTGCAGGGCCCAAGCACTCGGGTCACCTGCTGATGCTGTCCCAGGCCACAGCAGGAAGCTCCACCAGAAGCGGAGCAGCCGGACACAAACCGGCGCCCGTATGCCGCCCCCTTATTCCTTTTAGTATAAAGCTGGGGGCGGGGTGTTCCGGGGCAGTCCAGTGAATCACAGGAACTCAGATTCACTTGGGTCAGTTCCTAAGGTCCAGGGGTCATCTGCACCAGCACTGCAAACCCAAGCTAGGACAGGAAGAGCCCAGGGCATAATGGACGCCTCGCCCTGGTCTCCTCTGGGAGTTTGTCGGCCTCAGGGGATTCCCTTGAGAGGGAAAAGCTCCCGTGTGGTAGTCAGGACCCATTCAGGTCTCCCACGTGGGAGCCAAGAACTCAAGGTGTATTGGCAGGCAGCTGGGTCAGAAGTGGAGTAGCTTCGGCCGGCACCGCGGCTCACTAGGCTAATCCTCCCCCTGCGGCACCGGCACACCGTGTTCTAGTCCTGGTCGGGGCGCCGGATTCTGTCCTGGTTGCTCCTTTTCCAGTCCAGCTCTCTGCTGTGGCCAGGGAGGGCAGTGGAGGATGGCCCAAGTGCTTGGGCCCTGCACCCCATGGGAGACCAGGAGAAGCACCTGGCTCCCGGCTTCAGATCAGCGCAGTGCGCTGGCTGCAGTGGCCATTGGAGGGTGAACCAACAGCAAAGGAAGACCTTTCTCTGTCTCTTTCTCTCACTGTCCACTCTGCCTGTCAAAAATAAAAATAATAACAATAAAAAAAAAAAAAAGAAGTGGAGTAGCTGGGACTCAACCCAGCACTCAGATACAAGACGTGGGCACCCCAGGCGGCAGCTGAACGCGCCGAGCCCCAGCGCTCGCCCCCCACCTGATTTCGGGTGCCTCCTCCATGCAAGGGTGGCGTGCACGCTTCACCGTGAACGCTTACCTGAAAGGGTGCAGGGACTCCTGTGCTCCCGGGATGAGCCCGAGTGCTGTTTGTTACAATGAGGAGCCGCCCCTCCACTCCCCAACCCCACCCAGAGGAGAGCTGCCTCTCACCCCTGCAGGATTCCTCCTATGAACAGGAACCAGTGAAAGGCCACTTACGGCTTGGCTGGCCGTACAATGCGGTCAACAGGTGGGCACGGCAGACACGGAGGACGCGGAGCGGTCAGGGACACCGGATATGCCTGACCCTCCCTCTAGAGGGCGTGCTCAGCACCAGCATCCTGGACAAGACGCGGAGACCCGGCCAGCGGCTCACAGCTCCTGACCACGCCCTCCAGCAACCCCGCCCGGGGCTGTTTTACCGACAGAGGCCGAAGCCCAGGGAGGTGAGGTCTGTTACTCCAGGCAACGCGGCCGGGAAACAGCAGATCCAGGATCAAACCCGGCCTGCCGGATTCCAGCCCGTGCCTTGGCTACGCAGCAGTGGAAACTGAGGCAGGGGAGGGGCAGGCAGAGTGGCCCTGACCTGTGGGACCTTCAAGGTCACGGCGAGGACTTGGGACCTGTGTCTAAGTGCCAGGGGAGACAGTAAAGGGTTCTGACAAAAGGCTCCCGTTTCCTGCCCTGCGCACTGGGAATAACCGAAGTGCCCACCCCATCAGGTGGTCTCGAGGAAGAGAGCAAAGGCGTCCAGCGGGAGGAAGACCTGCAGCAGGTGCATCGCTGCCCAAGAGCCTGCTGGGAGGTGGTGAGGGTGAAGAGGGGTGCAGGGTTCTCCAAGTAGTCAGTGCTGGGGGGCAGACGCGGCCGGGAGAAGGGACTCGGGTAGGACGGAGAAAGCAAGTCCTACCGAGAGGAGGCGCCTGGGCTTGAAGGCCAAGGTCCTCTCTCACCACCCTGGCTCACAGCCTCGAGGGGCTGCAGGTGCAAGACCAGCGCCTGCCCCATCTGGCTCCTCCCAGCCTCATCAAGGGCAAAGGAGACCTACGGGGAGATACCACAGAAAACTAAAACATCACCATGGGGCACCGGTGATTTCCATTTAACCCCCGAGGAAGCAGTGCGCAACGCGCGCCCCCGCCCTCCGTCTCCCGTAGGAGCGGGAACTGCGCGGGTCTGGGGGCGAGCGGGCTTGCTTTGGGCAGATCTAGCTTCAGTCTGTCGCTGGTCTGCTTAGGGCAGCCTCAGTCTCGGGACCAGCCTGCGACATCGCACACACAACGACCGGAGGGGTCTGAAAGCCGGAAGGGTCCCCGCCCGGGGCCTCCTCGCGCGCGCGTCCCGGGCCGTCTGCTATCGCGGTGGGGACTGCGAGGGAAGCCCCGAGGGAGGCGGAGGCCAGCGGGGATCCCTCTAGCCAAGGGGTCCCCTCCGACCGCGGCGGGCGGGCAGGGCGATCCGGCAAGGCCGCTTCCAGGTCTCGCGGCCAGCGCAGCGCAACGGAGACGGCCCTCCGGAGGCCCCTCCAGGCAGAAGTTTCTGTCCTTTGAATTCCCGCGGGCCGACGCACCCCCAGGACACGGCCGCTCGGGCAGCGGACCCGCCCCACTCCCGGCAGACCCACGCATGAGGGCCGAGCGAAGACGTCATTTCCGCCCTGCTCCGTGCCCAGCAGGAGGGGGCGGGGCCGTAGCCGGAGGCGCGCCGTTTATGCGTCACTTCCGGTGAGTCCGGCGGCGACAACGGCAACATGGCCCTGAACGGTGCTGGTGAGGACTTGGGCTGCGGGGGCCCGGGGGCGGCCCGCTCCAGGACGACCCAGGTCCATGGTGCCTCTCTTCCCCAGAAGTCGACGATTTCTCCTGGGAACCCCCGACCGAGGCGGAGACGAAGGTGCTGCAGGCGCGGCGGGAGCGGCAGGATCGCATCTCGCGGCTCATGGGCGACTACCTGCTGCGCGGTTACCGCATGCTGGGCGACACCTGCGCGGACTGCGGGGTGAGGAGAGGGGCCGGGGGCCGGGGGGCCGGGGGGCCGGGGGCGGGGGCGGGCGCCGGCCTACCCTCCGCTCACCGCTGCCCCCGCTGTTGTCTGCTCCCTAGACCATCCTCCTCCAAGACAAACAGCGGAAAATCTACTGCGTGGCTTGTCAGGAGCTCGACTCGGACGTGGATAAAGATAACCCGGGTGAGCAGGCCCGGGGAACGGCAGTTTCGTCTGGGCAGGGCGGGGGTCAGGGGCTCTCTCCACTCACGGACTCAGAGCGCCTTCCCCGAGATGAAGCCAGGGCACATGGAGGAGATAGGGTGTAGCGGGGCGGGGGAAAGGCCTCCGGGACGGAAGCTCAGAGCCGCAGACGGGCCAGGCGCCCTGACGGCCCCCTCCGCTCTCTCCTTTCCGTAGCCCTGAACGCACAAGCTGCGCTCTCCCAAGCTCGGGAGCACCAGCTGGCCTCTGCCACGGAGCCCCCCGCCTCGGGTTCTCGGCCAGCCCCCCAGCCCCCGGTGCCCCGGCCCGAGCACTGTGAGGGAGCTGCCGCGGGGCTGAAGGCGGCCCAGGCGCCGCCCCCTGCCCCGGTGCCTCTGCATGCCGACAACCTGGCCGGCGCGCAGGCTGCCCTCCTGCAGAAGCTGAGCTGGGCCTCGGCCGAGCTGGGCTCCAGCTCCTGCCTGGAGACCAGCACCCAGCTGTGCGGCCTCATCCGGGCCTGTGCCGAGGCCCTGCGCAGCCTGAAGCAGCTGCAGCACTGAGAAAAACCTCTGGGAAAACCTGCGTGTGCGTGTCCTTCCTCTGCATGCCCGCGCCCGCTCGCCGTCGGTCTGCCCTGTCCGCCCGCGTGCGCCCCGGACGCCCTGAGCGGGTCCCCGCCCAGTTCTCCCGCGGGGCGGGCGGGGGGCACCCAGTTCTCCCGCGGGGCGGGCGAGGTGCCCCCCGCCCCCGACAGCGGCAGGAGGGGTGAGCCCGCTCCCTGGGCTCTGGCTCCCGTCCCCCGAGGCGTCCCAGCCCTGCCCCCAGCATCCTGAGTCAGCGGTCGTCCCCAGCCCAGGCCCCGCCCAGCAGCTCCTGCGTAGGCTGGAGGCCGTGCAGACCCCGCACCTGCTTTTAGACCCCTTTCCTCGGGAGGGGAAGTGGGCGGGGGGTGTGTAGCAGCAGGAACGGCGCCTGCCCCCTATCGCCGCCCCCCACTCCTCTCCCTCTCCCCGGCTCCGCTCCACGCGCGCTTCGCTACCCTCGCCGGCTCTGCGCGCTCGGGCCCACGCCATTGCCTGTTTAAGCCAGGCCCCGCCCACGGGGGTGGGGCAGGGGCGGAGCCGGCGGCGCCAGGGAAGGAACAAAGCGCGGCCTGCGGGCGGCGGCGGGGCCTGCGGGCCGCGCGGGGCGTTGCGGGGCGCGGGGCCGGCCATGAACGGGCTGCCCGCGGCCGAGACGCCGGGCGGCGCGGGCTGCGCCCTGGCCGGGCTCCCGCCGCTGCCGCGCGGCCTCAGCGGCCTGCTCAACGCCAGCGGGGGCTCGTGGCGGGAGCTGGAGCGCGTCTACAGCCAGCGCAGCCGCATCCACGACGAGCTGAGCCGCGCCGCGCGCGCGCCGGACGGGGCCCGCCACGCCGCCGGTGCCGCCGCCTCGGGCGCCGCAGCCGGCCCCCGGCGGCCGCTCAACCTGGACTCGGCGCTGGCCGCGCTGCGCAAGGAGATGGTGAGTGGCGGGCGCCGGGGGGCTGCGCGGGGCGGGGCGGGCGGAGGTCGCCAGGCACTCTTGGGCGCTGGCTCCCGGCGCTCTTTCCTGCCGCTTGGTGCCCTGACACTGCCTGCAGGGGTGGCCTGTGCCCGCCACAGCTTTCGGCAGAGAGCGGAGACGGCGCCGGGGAGCCCGCGCCCCGCGCCAGCCCACTCTGTCGTCCGCAGGTGGGGCTGCGGCAGCTGGACATGTCGCTGCTGTGCCAGCTGTGGGGCCTGTACGAGTCCATCCAGGACTACAAGCATCTGTGCCAAGACCTGAGCTTGTGCCAGGACCTGTCGTCGTCCCTGCACTCGGACAGCTCGTACCCGCCGGACGCGGGCCTGTCCGACGACGAGGAGCCGCCCGACGCCAGCCTGCCCCCCGACCCCCCGCCCCTCACCGTGCCCCAGACTCACAATGCGCGCGACCAGTGGCTGCAGGACGCCTTCCACATCGGCCTCTGAGGCGTGCCCGGACTCCAGAGCCTGCGCCCCGCACACCGCGCTCGCCTCAGGAGGGCAGGGCGCCGGGCGGGCCCCTGCGCCTCCCCCGCCCCCAGGCGCGCCCCCGCCCTGCCCGCTCTCACTCCGCGGTGGACCCGAAGTGTCTGCGCCCCGTGGCATCTCCGAGACTGGGACGAGGGCCCGGCTGCCGCCTCCTTTGCACCTGCCGCTGCCTCAGGGGCGTCCCGCCTCTGGTCCCGGGTTCCTCCAGGGCCAAGGCCCCACGCTGGATATTTGAGTTTAGGGGCGCAGATCAATAAACACTCTGGGCGTTGTGTCCTGCCTGCTGGTTCTGGCGCGGGGATGCCGCGGGGTCCCGGCGAGTGTGGCGCTGCGCTCCGCCGGCAGGTGGCGCCCGGGCCCCCGCGTGGGAGGGCTCGGCGGCGGCCGGCGGCGCATCCTGCCCGGGGCGGGGGCGGGGGCCGTTCGCGGCTCCGCGGCTCAGCGACTGCGGTCGAGTCACTTCCCATCTCGGCCAGCAGCCGCGGAGCCCAGCCCCCAGCCCCCAGCCCCGCTCGCTGCGAACCTCGCAGGCCCGCCGGGAAGGAAAGGAGGAGCCGCCCCATCTGGAGAAGAGAAACTTTCCACCTCGGGGCGGAGCTGGGGCGGCACAGGAAATGGGTGGGCCGGGGCCTGGGGCCCCTCGGCGGCGCGGTCTGCGGGGGCTGAAGGGTCGGGGCGCGAAGCCCTGGGGCTCCCTGGAGGCTGGGGGCGGGGCGGGGCCGCGGGCTGCCGTGCACCTCGGAGTCCGAGGCTGTCCCAGAGTTGGAACCGCAGGAGTGGGTCCCAGGCAGCCCTCCCGCGCTGACGTCAGTACAGACTGCGGCCCCTTGGGGTGCTATGGGAGAGGAAACCAGCGACCGCGCTGCCGGGGCTGCAGGCCCGACCTGGGTTGGAGCCCCCCGGAAGAAGCTCACGGAGGCGAGCCGTCCGCACACTCGGGGGGTGCGGGCAGCCGCTCTCCGGACAGCCCGGCGGTCACCCCCTGCAGATCAGACCGTGTCTTCAAGCTGAGGGCCCAGGACCAGGCTGCGGTCCGTTTGCAAACCTGGCAGAGCGGCGGGCAGGGGAGCCGTAGGCTGATGCGTCTGTCGCCCCAGGGCAGGGCTGAGCGGGACACCCTGCGGCGAGGCAGGCGATAAGGGCTGTAATCTAGGTGTTAGCCAAGCAGTGAGCGCCTGGGGCAGGCTTCCCGGGGAGGGGAGGGAATGCCTTCCGGTCCGCGATAACGGATCCCGCCTGGCAGGAGGACCTGGCGGAACCATCAGGGTTCCTCAGCTGCCCCCATTCAACAGGCTTCAAGACTGAGGCTCGCAGTGCCGGCGCCTGGGCCCCCAGCACGCGCAGGGCTTGGACCCCTCGCTGTGGGGTCAGGATCTGGGAGGAGGGGTAGAGGCGCCCCGGTTAAGACGCTGGTACCTGCTGGAGCCCGCCGCTCCGGGGCACCTGGCCCCAGCCCAGACTCCAGCACAACCCTGAGCAAGTCCCCTCCCCTTTCGAGGTCTCTCTTTTCCCAGTCTGTGAAATGGGGCCGCCGGCAGGAAGGGAGGCTGCCGCGAGTCCCCGCCGGCTGCCGCCCCGCGGCCCCCCGCGCCTCCGCGTGCCCCCGCGGCCGGGTCACCCCCTCCGCCCGCCCCCGGGCCCCGGCACGAGGCCCCGGAAGCCGGCTCGCCCCGCCCTCCGCGCCCGCCCCGCGCCGCGGCCCCGCCCGCCCTCCGACGGGGGTGCGGCTCCAGGAAGCCGTGCTCGCTGCCCCGAGCGCGGCCCACCCGGCGCGCCCCGCACGGCCCCGCCGACGCTGCCGGACCACCCGGCAGGCCCCAGCGGCCGCGGCTGGGAGCGCCGTCCGGGCTTCGAGCCTCGCACACCACGGCACGGACGGGGCGGGCAGTGCGCGAAGGAGCCCCGGAGGCCATGGGGACACGGGCCGGGCCAACGGTCGCGGGCCAGCTGTCGCCCCGGACCTGAGAGGTGCGCGGCGGGGCGGCGGGGACCATGACCTCGGTCTGGAAGCGCCTGCAGCGCGTGGGCAAGCGGGCTGCCAAGTTCCAGTTTGTGGCCTGTTACCACGAGCTGGTGTTGGAGTGCACCAAGAAGTGGTGAGTGGGAGGAGGCCGAGGGCCCCCCGCCCGGGGCCTGCGAGCGGAAGGTCTCAGAGAGCCTTGCCGGCCAGCTCGCCTGGGCCCTGGCGTCCCAAGTGCCCCTGCAGCTGTGGGACCCCCAGAGCCCCCCGGGTGGCAGCAGCTTTGCGGGGGTGGGGGTCGGGTCTGGGAGTGGGCTGTGGTCAGGGCCCCCCTGGAAGGGAACTGGCAGTCTTGGGCCAGCGAGAGGGAGTTGGGTGGCTTCGGGACGCGGAGCAAGTTTGGATCTGCAGGTGGCCGGGGGCAGAACCGCTACCCTGAGGGCCCTAGTCCAGCTCAGGACAAAGCTGTGGCCCCCTCTTCCCTGGCCTTCTGTGGCGCCAGAGGCCCCCGCCCCCCCGGAGCCTGAGCCGGCCAGGGAGGCTGGAAATGTCCTTAAAAGGGGAAACTGAGCACCGGGAGGGATGAGGAGGAGGCGGGAGCAGCTTAAAGGGGCCCCAGGGCCTGGGGGGATGTGAGTCCGGAGGAGGGGGTCTGCGGCGTGGTGGGGGGGGGCATCTCAAGAGAGCTGCGGGCCCTGGCCTGGCCTGCGCGTGGGCCAGGGGCATCTTCTCGTGCCTCCACCCACGGCTGCCCAGGCCCCTGCGTCACACCCTAAATATACGGCCGGCTGGTGTCAGCTTCCCTTGGCTGGATTAGGGCACAGCTGTGGGGGCCTCACCCGCCTGGAGGGGCTAAATTTAGGCTCCCCAGGGGGAGAGCCAGGGGCAGGAAGGGACCATGGGGTCCGAGGGGAGGGGTGGGGGCAGGAGGCTGGGGTCTTGTGGGCAGTTGCGGCCAGCTCATCATTCATTCAACTGGAGGCCCAGAGAGGCCGGGGCCAGCTGGGGTACCACCGGGAGAGGCTGGCGCCTGGCTTCTGGCCTCTGGCTTGTGCCCCGGCATCCCTTGTGAGGTCGGGGGTCGCTGGGCACGGTCCCGGGAGGGCAGGCCCAGGGCCGGGAAGTGTCACAGGGCCTGAGTCACAGACGCTGGTAGGGCCTCCTGGGCTTCTCAGCCTGGCGCCTAAGCCAGGAAGCTGCCCCTGGCCAGGTCGCAGCTCCCCAGGAGGGCGTGTCCGGCCTGAGTCAGGCCGCCTGGCCGAGCCCCGCCCTCCTGGGCACCCCGTGTCACTTCCCCTTTCTGGGAAGGCCCGGTGGCTACCCTTTGCTGGGCAGTGGCCTGCAGCTGGCCGCCTCAGGGGTTCCTGGGAGAGCTGGCTTCCTGGCCCGGCCACGGCCATGGCCACGAGTGAGCGCTCCCACCCCTGTGGGTGTGCGGCGGCGGGGCGGGGGGTGGCCAGCAGGGTTCTTCGGTGCTGCCTCAGTCTCTCCACCTTCATGGGCAGCAGTTAGACGCTAACCCAGAGGGGCGCTCACCCGCGGGCCTGGCCATGGGTGGGCTCCAGCACAGCCCCCCAGGAGTGTGTCACCTCCTGAGCCTCCGGTTCCCCTGTCCCCTGTCGTCATCGTCTTGAGCCGGGGCTCTGGACCCCTGTGGACCTCTGTGACTTGCCTCTCTGGCCTCACCTCCAACCCTCTTGCCCCTGGAGCCACAAACCCCCCCACCCCGCTCCCCCCAGAAACTGAAGCTCGGTGCCCCCTGCCCATGGCCACCCCTCCCCCACCAAGCCTCCTCTGACAGCCCCAACCTCAGGGAGACCCCCTCCCACCTGGCAGTGTCCCCCTGCCCCACCTCAGCTCTGCCCTGTCCCCCCAGCTGGCTGGGTCCACGGTGGGTATTTGCGAGCCGGTGGGTCTGTCCTGAGGCTGCCTGTCCGTCTGTCTGTCTGTCTGTCCTGAGGCTGCCTGTCCGTCTGTCTGTCCGCCTCCTTTGGTGTCCCAGTCCCTGCCAGGTGGTGCTCCCCGGGGCCTTTGCCCTCCTGCCCCGCCCTGCCTCAGCAACCCCACCCTGCACTGCTTGGCCCCAGATAAGGGGCTCCCAGGCCTTCTCTGGGGGGAGGGGCGTGGGCATAGGGGAACCCCCAAGGGAGCTGGGGAGCCTGATAGGCCCCCCCCCGCCTTCCCCAGGCAGCCAGACAAGCTGGTGGTGGTGTGGACCCGGCGGAACCGACGCATCTGCTCCAAGGTGGGGCTGGGGGCGGCTGGGGGCGTGGCATCGGGTCGGGGGCCAGGCGAGAATCCCGAGGAGGGAAAGGAAGAGGGGGTGGAGGCACCGGGAGGGGGAGTGGGGGAAGGGAGCGCTCTGACAGCCCCCCCCCCCCGCAGGCCCACAGCTGGCAGCCGGGCATCCAGAACCCCTACCGAGGCACCGTGGTGTGGGTGGTGCCCGAGAACGTGGACGTCTCCGTGACCCTCTACAGGGTGACTTTCTAGCTCTCCGGCCGCCGTGGTGGTGGGGGGGGGGGAGATGGAAGCTGCCCCGCGTGATAGCCCGGGAGGTCTCCTGGGAGGAGGCGGCGTTTCCCCAACACACTGGCATCAGAAGCTGGGGTGCGCCCAGCGGAGGGGCCGGCCCCGCCGAGGCCCTGCCGGCGCCTCTGCAGCCGCACAGGCTCTGGGCCCCGTGCTCACCAGGGCCTCTCTCCCAGGACCCCCACGTGGACCAGTATGAGGCCAAAGAGTGGACGTTTGTTGTTGAGAATGTGAGTGCCAAGGTGGGCTGGGGCCAGGGTCTCGGGTGGTGGTGGGGAACCTGGGCAGCACTGATGCTCCTCCCCGCCCCTCCCCCCCAGGAGTCCAAGGGGCAGCGGAAGGTGCTGGCCACAGCCGAGGTGGACCTGGCCCGCCACGCAGGGCCTGTGCCCGTCCAGGTTCCCCTGCGGCTGCGGCTGAAGCCCAAGTCGGTGAAGGTGGTGCAGGCCGAGCTGAGCCTCACCCTCTCAGGGGTCCTGCTGCGGGAGGGCCGCGCCACGTGAGTGCTCGCCTGCCCGTCCTGGCTCTGGCCTGCGACCTCTGACCCCAGCCCTCACCCCTGACCCCTGACCCCCAGGGATGATGACATGCAGAGTCTCGCCAGCCTCATGAGCGTGAAACCTTGTGACGTGGGCAACCTGGACGACTTCGCTGAGAGCGACGGGGACGAGGCCAGCGGCCCGGCGGCCCCCGAGGCCCGGGCTCGAGGCCTCCAGCCAGGTGGGCTCCGGGTCTGGCCCAGGGCCGGTGGGGCAGGGCCGGGCAGTCCCCGCCGCGTGGCCCTGACTGTCCCAGCCTGGCCGCTGCCCCTGGGGTCCTTAGCTAAGTTTTAGGGGATGGGTTCCCGAGGCCTCCCCCAGCCCTGGCCCCCTGACCCCCGGCAGGTGCCCGCGTCCCAACCCTGGCTGTGGCAGGTGGGTGGTAAGGCCAGAGTGGGCCGCGGCCCAGTCTCATCCCTGGCCGCTGCCCTCACGGCCCCCGAGGCGTCCTCGTGTCCTCGTCCTCCCTCCTGCTCTGTCTGCCATGCTGGCTCTCTCTCTCTCTCTCCCCCTCCCCCTTCTCTCTGCACCTGTGTGCCTGTCTCTGCTCCCAGGCCGGGCCGGTGCCCCGAGGCCAGGGCGCTTCCCAGGTAGGCCCTGCCCTCCAGTGTGTGTGTGTGTGGTGGGGGTGTGGACCTGCCAGGACCCTGCCCTGGCTGACTGTGCCCCCACGCCCACCCAGGGCCCTCCAGGGAGCTCAAGGCCCTTTCTGAGGAGGAAGAGGAGGGCCGAGTGAGGCTGCCGGAGGCAGGTGAGGCCCAGGCTGGCGTGGGGGGAGCGGGGAGGCTGGACCCCGGTCTCCGGCCTAGGCCTCAGGGCCACCTGCCTTCCTCCCCAGCTGCCAGCCCTCCCAGTGCTGAGGAGTCCAGCCCAGTCCCTGTGAGTGTCCCTGTGCCCCCGGCCAGGGCCTCCCGGGGCCAGGGGCCAGAACCTGCTGCTGGACCAGGGGGCCCCGTGGGGTGTGAGGCCCCCAGGCCCCCAGAAACCCCCCCAGAGATGAGGTGAGCTCTGGAAGCAGCCCACCCCCGCCCCTGCCCGTGTGGGGAGCTGCGCGTCCCCGCCCAGGGCTGGCACTGAAGGTGGGGGTGGAGCTGGTGGGCACCGTGGGCCCCAACACTGCCTCTCGCTCTCTCCCCAGGTCCTCGAGGCAGCCAGGCCAGGGCCCGGCCCCCACCCCAGCCCCTCGGCTCCGGAAGGGCTCCGACACCCCCCGCCCCTCAGTCACTCCAGGGCCGGACGCAGGAGCTCCCCCCGCGGGAACGGGCTCTTCCCAGGAGACCCAGGCCCCGGCAAGCCCTGAGGCAGGGGCAGAGGCCCAGGGGGGCAGCCTGGGACATCCTCCAGTCGTTGAGGACGGAGGCTCCGGGGACTGCCGGGGAGGACAGAGCCCCGAGGTTGCAGAAGGGGACGCTGGGGACAGGCCAGAGGTCAGTGGGGTGGGCACCGATCGTGGGTCGGAAGTCGCAGAAGCAGACACTAGGTCAGGGGTCAGCACTGCGGAGGCTGAAGACAGTTCAGAGGTTAGTCAGGGGGATGCTGAGCGGAGGCCGAAGGAGAGACGTGGGGGCGCTAAGGGGCCAGGGGCTACAGGGGCAACGCCCGAGGCTCCTCCAAGGGTCTCTCAGGGGAGGATGGGGGTCAGGACCGGGGAGGAGGCGTCCCCAGCAGAGCCTCGGGGGCACTCGGGGCATCTGAATGACCTCAGCTGGGCCGGGGACACTGCAGGTCAGGAGAGCACAGGCACAGAGGGGAGGGGTGCAGCCCCCGGTGTTGGGAGCTCAGGCCCGGAGCAGGGCCCCCCCGCTGGAGCTGCGAGCACCGGGCCCCAGGTGAGCAGGTGCCCGAGGGCCCCGTCGCCAACTGACCAGGGGGTCTGGGACACAGATGTTGGGGAGCCAAGGGCCCTAGGAGCAGAGACCGGGGTGGCAGAGTGGGAGGGACAGGGGATCCGGGAGACGGAAGTGGGGGGGTCAGCGTTCCCAAGGGCAGAGGCTAGGAGAGCAGAAGTTGAGGTCTCGGAGGCACAGGACGCAGACCTGCGGGCTCCAGGGGCAGAAGTCGGGGTACTAGGGGCCGAGGTGTTGGGGAGCCAGGAGACAGAGGCTGGGACTTCAGGAGTAGTGGGGACGGAGACTCCAATGGCAGAGGCTGAGACGCTGGTGACCCAGGAGATATCTGGGGGTTCAAGGGCACTGGGGGCAGAGGCTAAGATGATGTTGGGGGCCCAGGAGGCAGAGGTAGGGGCCCCCAGGACACCAGAGACAGAGGCTGGGGGTGCAGAGGCTGAGACATTGGCAACCCAGGAGATATCTGGGGGTTCAAGGGCACTGGGGGCAGAGGCTGAGATGATGGTGGCCCAGGAGGCAGAGGTGGGGGCCCCCAGGACACCAGAGACAGAGGCTGGGGGTGCAGAGGCTGAGACATTGGCGACCCAGGAGATATCTGGGGGTTCAAGGGCACTGGGGGCAGAGGCTGAGATGATGGTGGCCCAGGAGGCAGAGGTGGGGGCCCCCAGGACACCAGAGACAGAGGCTCGGGGTGCAGAGGCTGAGATACGGGGGACCCAGAAGATAGCTTCTGGGGATTCAGGGGCCCTGGGAGTAGAAACTGCAGTAGCAGAATCTGAGGTACTGGGGGCCCAGGAGGCAGAAGTCGGGGTCCCAGGAACAGAGGCCAGGGTGCTGGGGGCCGGGGTGTTGGAGAGCGAGGAAACAGAGGCTGGGGGTGCAGAAGCTGAGATACGGGGGACCCAGGAGGTAGCCGCTGAAGGTTCGGGGGTCCCAGGGAGAGAAGAAGCTAGGATGGCAGAGGCCGAGGTGTTGGGGGCCCAGGGCACAGCATCTGGGGACCCAGGGGCTCTGAGGGTAGAAGCCGGGACGAGAGAATCCGAGCAGGCGGTGGCGGGGGGCTCCCGGGGCCCCGGGACAGCAGGGGGCTGGGAGACAGAGGTGGGGGCTGCAGGGGCCCCAGGGCCAGAGGCTGGGAAGGCGGAGGAACCCAGGAGCCGGCAGACGGGACGCGCAGTTTCCGAGGCCGAGCCTCTGCGGGAAGAGACTGCGGCCGGGGGGACCCCTGGACACGAGGTGCAGAGAACGGCAGGGTCTCAGGCGGCAGCAGTCCCAGAGGGCGAGTCGCAGGTTCTGAGGGCCCCGGGGGCGGAGGCCGGCTCTGCAGAGAGCAAATGTGTTTCTGAGGCCCAGGAAGCAGAGGCTGGGGTCTTGGGAACTGAGGAGGAGGCAGCGGAGGGAAGCCCCCCAGAGGCCGGCGGGGCAGGGGCTGCAGTGCCCGGGCCCTCGGGGGCCCCCTCCCCAGAGGAGCCGGAAGAGGACAGGAGGCTGCCGGGCAGCCAGGTAGGGACGGGGGCCGCCGAGGGCCCAGTCTGCTGCTTCCCGCTAACCTGGGGCTGAGCGAGCGGCGGCTCTGCATGGACCCACCTGGTGGACCAGGAGGGGTGGGTGCCAGGCTCGTCTTCCTGGAGCCCCTGTACCCCTCCTGTCTCAGGATGCCCTGGCTCCCCTACCCCGGCTTCCCTGGGCTGCATGGAGCTGGACGCCCTAAGCTGATTTCTGGGCTGACCTTGAGGTGGGCTGCTGGTTATCTCTGGCCTTGCCTGGGGCCAGAAACACTTTAGCCCGGCCCCAGGCCCCTGATGACCCCGGCAAACTCAGAACTGCGGCTGTTTTGTGCCAGGAGGCCTGAGCTTCCCCGAGGGGCAGAGGGCCCAGGTCCGAGGTGCCCACCCCCTCAGCCCCCCGCTCTGTGTTCCCAGGCACCGCCTGCCCTGGTCAGCTCCAGCCAGTCCCTGTTGGAGTGGTGCCAGGAAGTCACCGCCGGCTACCGCGGGGTCCGCGTCACCAACTTCACCACCTCCTGGCGGAACGGCTTGGCTTTCTGCGCCATCCTGCACCACTTCCACCCGGACAAGATGTGAGAGGCCGGCGGGAGTGGGGGCGGGCGGCCCGCCGGGAGGGCAGAGGCGGCGGCCGCTGACCTGGGCTCTCCCCGCAGCGACTACGCGGCCCTGGACCCGCTCAACATCAAGCACAACAACAAACAGGTGAGCCGCCCCGAGTGTTGGAGCGAGAAGTTGTGCGCTCTCCTTAGCTTGGTTTTGGTGTTATTCAAGCATGCTTCCCTTTGGTGGGGGGTGGAGGGTGTGCCGTTGCTAGGTGATGGAGGGCAGGGACCCCCCCAAGGCCCCCCCCCCCCCCCCCCCCGGCCACGGCCTCAGCCGCTGACCCCTTCCCAGGCCTTCGATGGCTTCGCGGCGCTGGGCGTGTCGCGGCTGCTGGAGCCGGCGGACATGGTGCTGCTGTCGGTGCCAGACAAGCTCATCGTCATGACCTACCTGTGCCAGATCCGCGCCTTCTGCACGGGTCAGGAGCTGCAGCTGGTGCAGCTGGAGGGCGGCGGCGGCGCGGGCACGTACCGCGTGGGCAGCGCGCCGCCGAGCCCGCCCGACGCCCTGGACGCGGGGGGCCTGGCGCAGCGGCTGCGGGAGTGCGGGGCCGAGGCGCCCAGGGAGCCCAAGGAGGCCGCGAACGGGGCCACTCCCGGGGCGGCCCCCAGGGCGGCAGACGCGGGCAGCACCTCCAGGGACGGCCTGGCCGCCGAGGCCGCCCGGGACGCGCGACCTGCGGAGGCCGCGACCGATGGCCCCGGAGCCGGGGCGCCGGGCGGCGTGAGGCTGCGGCGGCCGTCCGTCTGCGGGGAGGCCGGGCCGGTGCCCCCGCCGCGCGCGCACGGCTCCTTCTCGCACGTGCGCGACGCCGACCTGCTGAAGAAGAGGCGCTCGCGGCTAAGGAACAGCAGTTCCTTCTCGGCGGAGGACCCGGACTCGGGGGCAGCGCCCGCGGTGAGTGTCCCGCCCCCAGCGGCGCGCGCGGGGTCCCGGGGGCGGGGCTGAGGCTGGTGCGCCCCCGGACAGAGTCGGTGGGCGGCACTCTGCTGGGCGCACCGTGGTAATCAGGACGCCGGGGCTGCACCAGGGTCCCTTGGTGTGGCCGTGAGTTCCCATCAGGGGAGCCCCCCGGGGTCCCCGGCTTCATCGCCGGCGGGGTGGGGGGTTTGAGTGGTTTTGAGCGCTGGGCGCTCCCTGTGGGGGGTCGCGGGCAGTGGCAGGCAGTTCCGGCAGGCTCCCGGTGGGCACCCAGGGCACCACTGTTGGGACCGTGAGATGGGTTTGGGCGCCGCTTTCCTGGCAGGTGGCAGGGGGTAGGGAATGGGGCAGCAGCCTCTGGCCCCAGGCAGGGGCAGGGTTTCTATACTCCAGGGCCCACCTGCCGAATTCCTCGGGCTTGGATCTGTAAGCCCAGTGGCTGGACACCAGTCTCCTCTTGGCGGGAGATTGGAGATGGGAGAGCCTGGGCCCTTGCAGGCTCAGGTCGGTGTGTCAGGGTGTCCTGGAGGGGAGCCGGGCCCCGGGGGAGAGCAGGCCACACCTTTCTCCTACAGCAGGGGCGACCCTGCCAAGGCTGCTCCCCACCTTCAGCTGCCCGGGTGGCCCCGGAGTGTGAAGGGAGGGAGGCGATAGATACATTGATACATCTGAACCGCTCTCTGCAAGCCGCTGCCCTCTGAGCCCAGCGGGTGAGATGGGCAGGTAGTTTCCAGGTGGAGAATGGGAGGGGCGGTTCAAGTGGAGAGGAACCTGCGCCCGCAGAAACACAGCGGGCGAGAAGGTGCAGGGCTCCCTCAGGGACCCGCGGGCCGTCGGGGGCCCTTTAAGGGGAGGCTCTGCTGCGCCCCTGGGCCTGCGTCCAACATCTGGTTCTCTCTAGCCAGGCCTTCCTCTTGCTCTTGCCCCACGGAAACGTTTGACCCAGGGGCTGGAGGAGACGTGTCCTCAGGGCGGCCCCAAGCCCCATGCCTGCGTCCGGAGGCGGTTGGTCTGGCCGTGCCCCGGGGAGTGGGGTGGCATGAGCTCAGGGACCCTGGCATTAGGGCGGGGCCGGGGCAACCCCAGCAGAAGAGCAGGTGGCCCGGCAGGGTGTCCTGCAGAGGGGCCCTGCAGGAGGGGTCTGGGCCAGACACGGGAAGCAGCACTGGGGTCCCATCAGGGCCGGGTGAGGTCTCTCCGCTTCCTGCCCCGGTCTGCTTGAGCCTTGAGCCCTATCCGTACTGCTGGCCAGTCCTTGTCACCCTCCCTGATGACGCCTTCATTCTTCTTCCCAAAGATTTATTTACTCATTTGAGAGATAAGAGTTAGAGACAGATAGAGGGAGACTGAGAGAAAGGTCTTCCATCCACTGGTTCACTCCTCCAAATGGCCGCAACAGCCGGTGCTGGGCCGCTCTGAAGCCAGGGGCCGGGAGCTTCCTCCAGGTCTCCCACACATCCTCTACTGCCCTCCCAGGCCATAAGCAGAGAGCTGGATCAGAAGTGGAGCAGCCGGGACCCGACACAGTGCCCATGTGGGATGTTGGCACCACAGGCGTGGGCTTAGCCTACTAAGCTACAGTGCTGGCTCCCTGAAATTTATTTATTTAAAGATGGAGATAGAGAGAGAGAGATCTTCCATCTGCTGGTTCACTCCCCAAATGGCCTCAATAAGTGGAGTTCTGCCAGGCCAGAGCCAGGAGCCAGGAGCTTCTTCTGCGTCTCCCACATGGGTCAGGGGCCCACCTGCAGGCCGCCACCTGCTGCTTTCCCAGGTGCATTAGCAGGGAGCTGGATTGGAAGTGGCGCAGCTGGGACCTGAACGGGCACCCGTATGGGATGTCGGTGCTGCAGGCACTTTCTACGCCAGGGCGCAGGCTCCAGTGAGGCAGGTGCAGTCCCGGGTGTGGGCCCCGATTGGCGCCCTCTGCCGGACCCGGCTCTGTTGCCTGGCTGTGTGACCCTGGATGAGCCACTTAACCTAACTGTTCCTGAAGATGAGGGACAAAGGTACGACAGCTCTGCAAGATGACCAGTGCAGGCCGCTGTCCCGGGGCAGCTGTGTGCCCTGCTGCACCCCCCCAAGGTGCCGCTCAGGGCTGGGACTTCTCCCATGGCACACGCAGGGACAGAAGCAGGAGCCAGTGGGTCTCCAAGCTGGGGAACAAACATGTGGCTCAGACAGGCTCGGGCCAGGCCCTCTCGGAATCTCCTCCCCTTCGCTGAGCTTCATCTTCAACGTGGGGGTGGCAGCGTTGGTCCAGGAAAGTGTTCCAGCGCCCGTCGCAGACGCTCCGTAGATGTTAACGATGGTTCCTGAGTCGCGTGCACCCTGGGTCAGCGCAGCCCAATCCGAAGGGTGACTCTGATCTCTGATCAGGGAGCCATGCGGGACAGGCAGGCACCGTGGGGTGGGGAGATGCCAGTTGGGATCAGGGAGGCCGACGGGGACAGCACCTGCCCTGCCTGGGGCTCAGGGCAGGCTTTGGTGGGGGGGCTTCAAGGTCGGGGAGGGTGTGGACAGAGGCGTGGGAGCCGGAAGTGGCCTCTGGAGGAGGCGGGGCTCTGCTGGGCTGCAGTGGTGGAGGCCAACTTCTTAGGGAACTGAAAGTCTCATTACTGTGGCCACAGGGCGGTGTCCACGTGGGGACCTGGGGTAGGCAGTGGAGAACGGAAGGGGCCAGCAAGGCGGGGGGCTGGGAGCGCCCCCTGGAGAGAGTCCCAGGACTGGTGGCCCGGGCGAGTGGAGGGTGGCACCTGAGCCGGGGTGCCTGGGGTAGCTCTCAGAGACGGGAAGGCTGGGGAGGACAGTGGGGTTGCTCAACCCCTTCTCCCTTGACCTGTGATCCAGATGGGTGGCCGGGCCGTGCGCCGAGCTGAGTGCAGCCCCACCCCCAGCAAGACTGGGGCAGAACGCATCATCGGGGTCAGCCCTGCCCTTCCCGGCTGGAATCCGGGGTCCTGTGGGTGTGGGAGGGGATCAGGCCGGGAGGTGGAAGTGTGTCCAGGATGGCCTGGGGCAGCTATGTCACCGCGTGGGGCCCCGGCCGTGGCGGAGATGCCAGGACCAGCAGGCAGGACAGAGCCCCCCCGAGAAGCTCCGTAGTGGGCTGAGGCTCCCTGAGCCCTCCCAGCCTTTCCCCACGGGCTCCCACGCGTGAGGCCGCGGTCCCCAGCCTGGCCCAAGCTCAGGGCCTGGAGGGAGGCCTGGCGTTTGCCTGGGGACTCATGGCCCCTGGATGGGAGGGGGGTTGGGCTCTGTGCCTGGGGACTGGAGAGGCCACTGGGTGGGCAGGGCCCGGGATGAGGACCTCACCCTTCCCAGGCCAGCGCTACTGGGGACTCACTTGGCTCTCACCAGCCCTTTCTTTTTTAAAAGATTTATTAAATTTATCTGAAGGGTAGAGTTACAGAGAGAGAGGGAGAGACAGACAGATCTTCCGTCTGCTGGTTCACTCCCCAGAGGGCCGCACAGCCAGGGCTGGGCCAAGCCAAAGCCACCGGCCAGGAGCCTCTCCCGGGTCTCCCACGCAGGGGCCCAAGCACTTGGGCCATCCTCCACTGCTTCCCCAGGTGCATTAGCAGAGAGCTGGATCGGAAGTGGAGCAGCCGGGACTCAAACTGGCGGCCCTAAGGGATGCCAGCACTAGGCAGAGGCTTAACCCGCTGACCCCCTCACCGGCCCTTTCTTCCACAGGAAGTCCTGAGCCCTGACCCCAGCACTGCCCCTAGCCCACCAGTAGCTCCAGCCCCGGCCCCAGCCCCCCAGCAGCCCCCTGGTAAGTAGTTTGGCATTGGTGGGCATGGGGGTAAGAGTTGTGACCGAACTCCCTTCCGGCTGCTCACCCAGCCTGGGCTGGGGGCAGCTGCTGCCTGGGGTGCCTCAGCCTGTCTCTCTGCAGGTGGGAGCCCCCCGCAGGAGGAGACACCCCCAAGCCCAGGGGAGGAGGCCGGGCTGGTAAGCAGGGCTGGTGGGGAGTTGATGGATGGGCACTTCCTGGGCGGGGCTCGGGTGGAGCCCGCCCCGGCCTGCCCCTCCTCTCCCTCCCAGCAAAGGTTCCAGGACACCAGTCAGTACGTGTGCGCAGAGCTGCAGGCCCTGGAGCAGGAGCAGAGGCAGATAGACGGGCGGGCGGCCGAGGTGGAGACGCAGCTGAGGAGCCTCATGGAGTCAGGTGGGGCGGCGTGGGGCCCCTCCCGCCGGCCAAGCCCCCCCCCCCTGCCCTGCCAAGCCCCGCCGTGACCCGGGGTCTCACTCAGGTGCTGACAGGCTGCAGGAGGAGGTGCTGATCCAGGAGTGGTTCACCCTGGTCAACAAGAAGAACGCGCTCATCCGGCGGCAGGACCAGCTGCAGCTGCTGTGAGTCGGGGGGCGTGGACGGAGCCGTCCGCTTCGCCCCGCAAAGTGCTTTTGAAAACTCATCACTCAACTCGGATTAACCTCACTGAATTTTTAAAAAATCATTTATTTGAAAGGCAGAGTTACAGAGAGGCAGAGACAGAGAGAGAGAGAGAGGTCTTCCATCCACTAGTTCACTCCCCAGTTGGCCGCAACAGCCAGAGCTGCGCCGATCCAAAGCCAGGAGCTTCTTCCGGGTCTCCCACGCGGGTGCAGGGGCCCAAGCACTTGGGCCATCTTCCACTGCTTTCCCAGGCGCATTAGCAGAGAGCTGGATCAGAAGTGGAGCAGCCGGGACTTGAACCAGCACCCATATGGGATGCCGGCACTGCCGGGACTCGAACCGGTGCCCGTATGGGATGCCAGCACTGCAAGGAGCGGCTTTACCCGAGAGGCCACAGCGCTGGCCCCAGGGTATACATCGTCACCTAGCAGCGTTTTTACAAATGTGACAGCCAAAGTCCACAGAAACATGGCCCAGGAAGCTTAGGGCTGAGAACTGCCATCTGACCCAGTGCCTTCGAGGGGCTCTACCGTGGGGCCACTCGGGGAGAGAGCCCGCGTCCTCCCCCTCGGGTACCCGCCTGTCAAGAGTGAATACTTGGAGCCAGTGGTGCCGGGGGGAGCGTCCCGTTCCCCCTCGGCTCCTTGCTAACCCTCCTGGGAAGGCAGCAGAAGACGGCCCAAGTGCCTGGGCCCAGGCCACCCACGTGGGAGATGGGAACAGTTCCTGGGTCCTGGCCATTGCAGCCACTTGGAGAATGAACCAGGACATGGAAGAGTCTAGGTCTTCCTCTACCACTCTGCCTTTCAAATGAGAAATTTTAAAGCAGGGTGGGAAGGGGGCAGCAGCCGGAGGCCACTTGTACAGGGGTCAGGTGCCCGCCTACAACGGAAGCTGATGGGCAGGCGGCCGGGGTCTGCGAGTGGCCAGGACGCTGGGCGCCCCCTCCCTGACCCAGCACCCCTCACCTCCCAGCATCGAAGAGCAGGACTTGGAGAGGAGGTTCGAGCTGCTGAGCCGGGAGCTGCGTGCCATGCTGGCCACAGAAGGTGGGAGACGGGGGCCCGGGCGGGGCGGGAGGCAGGATGGGGCCCAGGCGGGGACCCCCTGACCTGACCCGCAGCCTCCGCTGCGCTTAGACTGGCAGAAGACCGTGGCGCAGCAGCACCGGGAGCAGCTGCTGCTGGAGGAGCTGGTGTCGCTGGTGAACCAGCGCGACGAGCTGGTCCGGAACCTGGACCACAAGGAGCGGATGTGAGTGGGGGCGGGCGCGGGGCAGGGGCAGGGCCCGGGGCCGGCTGGGGCGGGCCGCCGGGTTGACTCGGACCCTTCCGCCCGCCCCAGCGCCCTGGAGGAGGACGAGCGCCTGGAGCGCGGCCTGGAGCAGAGACGCCGCAAGCTGAGCCGCCAGCTGAGCCGGCGCGAACGCTGCGCGCTGAGCTGAGGCCGCCGGGGCGCCCCGCGGAGCCCCCGGCCGCCCGCGCCGCGCCGCGGAGACCCCAGCCTGCCCCGCGGAGACCCCCGGCCGCCCTATTTATTTGCCTGTCTTGAGTGTGTGCGTGCATCGGCGCGGGACCCGCCGCGCGCCCGCGTCCGCTCCCCAGTCCTCGCGCGCCCCGCAGCCGGGCGGAAGAGCTGGGCGCGCGGGGATGCGGGGCTGTGCGGGCTTCGCGGAGCCAGACGCCCGCGAGGCTGGACTCAGGAAGTCGCGTTTGTAAAGAAGTTGCGCCAGCACAGCCGAGTCGGTGCCCGGTTTATTTTACTTTTATTTTTTTGGGTAAACCCCGACACGTTCTTCCCCCCGCCCCAACCCGCCCTCGTGTTCGTGTCCACTCGGCCCCGCCCCCGGCGCTTTAAGGAGCCGAGCTGGGGCACCGGACACCCGGTCAGCACGCGGGGGCCTGCTCAGAGGCTGGGGCGGCCGCGGGCAGGGGGCCGCTCAGCGCCAGTTCGTCCTGGCCTAGGATGCCTCCTTGGTCCTCAGCCGTCGAGGGCCCACTGGACGCGAAGAACTTCACCATGGCACGGACCTGGGGCAGCTCGGAGAAGGTCTCCACGGCCAGCAGCATGGCCAGGAGTCCCAGGAGCAAGTAACCTGGGGAGGAGAGGTTGCCAGGGCGCTGCTGACGACCTCCGCGCGCCTCTGGGGCGGGGACCCACCTGGCACCTGGTGGTGCTGCCCAGGGGTCCGCCCGGACTGCCCCTCCTGCACCTGGGCAGGGGTCGGGGCCTCACCCCTGCGAAGCCCAGCTCCGGGAGGTTATGGGAGCCGCAGTCCAGGTTCCCCCTTCCTCCCCGGGACTCACCGAGGAGCGCGAGCTGGCCCAGGTGGTAGATGAGCGGAGGCAGGCTCCGGCCGCCGCCGGGCAGCAGGTCCCCCAGGCCGATGGTGCTGAGCGAGCCGAAGCAGAGGTACAGGGCCTCCAGCAGGCTGCAGTCACCTCGCAGGGCCCACAGCACCAGGGCGGGCAGCAGCACAAAGGCGGCAGCCACCAGCAGGCCCAGGGCCGCTGCCTGCAGCAGCGCGGCCCTGGCCGGGGCGGGCTGCCAGGGCCTGGTCACCCAGGCCGCCAGGCGGCTGAGCCGGGGCAGCAGGCAGCAGCGCAGGGCGGCCACGAGTGCTAGGGAGGCCGGCAGCCCCAGCGCGGCGTACGCCACGCAGAAGGCCTTTCCGCCCGCCGACAGAGGGGCCATGTGTCCGTAACCTGGGGGGGGGGTAGAGACGGGGGGGCCGTAAGCCCGTAAGAGGGGTGCTCACTGGCATCCCCACGTCCAGCATCGCCCCCGACCCCGGCGGAACGCTGCCCTCTAGTGGCCAAAGTTACATGGACTTTAGGCTCTGCTCTTGGGTCGCTTGGGAATGCTGGACAAACTGCCTTGGCCTCTCTGGGCCACTCGTGTCTGGAAAACGAAAGGATTAAAAGAAGAAAAAAATCCCTCGGGCCTTTGTGGCGGGTCCGATTTAGAGAACTGTCCTGCCCCCAGACCCACAGCCAGTGAGCTGTCACCCACTCTTCCCCCCCGCCCAAAGGTGTGTGGCGTGGTCCTGTGCCCGGCTGTGTGCTGGAGCCGGGCTGCAGGGGCCCTGCCCTCCCGTGGAGGAGGGGGACAGGAGATGGTGTGAGAGAGGGCGTTGGAGGCTGGAGCGGCCTGGGCAGGCGGGGAGTCGGGCGCGGGCAATGGCGTGTGGGAGAACAGGATGGGCCAGTCGTGACGGCGAGATGTGACCTAAGAGGGAGTGGTGGGCTCTGGGGTGGCCCGGAGAGCGTGTGCTGTGCCCAAAGGTGGGCCCGGTTCCTCTGCAGCCTTGAAGGAATTCAGGTTGAGTGTGAATAGGTCCCTGCGATTCTGGCAGAACTTGGAAATAGAACGTTCAATTAAAAAATGGGGGGGTTGGGCAGTGCTGGCATCAGGGCCCAACAAGTTAAACCAGCACCTGTGACACAGACATCCCACACGGGCGCTGGTTCGAGTCCCGGCTGCTCCCTGCTAACGCGCCTGAGAAGGCAGCGGGGGCTGTTCCATGTATTTGGACCTCTGCTACCCGTGAGGGAGACCACCAAGAAGCCGGCTCCCAGCTGTGGCCCAGCCCCAGCCGTTATGGCTGTCTGGGGAGTGAACCAGTGGGTGGAAGATCAATCTCTCTCTCTGAAACTCTCCCTTCCAAATAAATACAGAAAAATATTAAAAGTCACAAGCTAAAAGCAGGCTGTGGGTCCTCTCGCTGTATCTCGGGGTTCCCCTGGCCTGTGTGCATGCCCCACCCCCGCAGGAATTCCTACACCCTCAGCTCTCTCCCCTCTCGCCTTGCTTAGCAGCTCACCAGGACTTTCTCCCCAGAAGCCACCCCTCCTGGCTTTCCTGAGTCGGTGCTCCTGGTCTGTGCTCCCCATTCGAGGGTCTTCACAAAGTTCATGGAAACGTGAATTATGAAAAAACTATACATGCATTGCAAAATATTTGTGCAGCAAAATAAAGTGTTCATTTCATGTTTCATGAACTTTGTGGAAATATTTGCAAGGCAGAGTGACACAGAGAGAAAGGGTGTGTGGTGGTGGGGGAGATCCTCTAACCACTGGTTCACTCCCCAGTCGCCAGGGCTGGGCCAGGCACTCCTTGCTGGTCTCCCACGTGGGAGGCAGGGGACCGTCGTCTGCCGCTCCCCGGGTGTTCGCAGGGAGCCCGTCTGCAGCAGAGTAGCTGGGCTGGGCCCTCCAGTGTGGGACGCAGGCTTAGCCCTCCCACCCGGCCGGCCGCAGCGAACTTTGTGGGGTACCCCTCCATTGTGTGCCCTGCTCACCCCAGGCCCCTGGCATCTGGCCTCTCCCAAGGCCTCAAAGGGTGCCTGTGGGTGGGGCCGGGGAAGCCACGCCCCTGCTGGCAGCTGAAGTGGAGGCACCAGTTGGGGTGTGTTGGTGTGGGGAGCCTCCCGCTGTGATGCTGGGCCCGACAGGGTCTGGGCTTGCTCTGGCGCTTCAGGGCTGGGGGAGGGGCTCGTCCACAGGGACCCCTGGGAGCCCTGGCCCTCGGGAGCGCCTCCTACTGGGCCTTACCGGTGGTGGTGAGGATGCTGGCAGCGAAGAGCAGGGCCGAGGGCAGGTCCCAGTTGCTGGCCTCCGAGGCATTGCCCGGGTTGGAGACCCCGTGGGCCTGGGCTCTCAGGGCAGTGTCCAGCAGTTCCTGCAGCGCTCCCGGCGGCAAGCAGGCCCCAAACTCAGCCTGGAAGGCGGCCAGCGCGGCCCTGAGCTCGGCCTGGAGCCGCAGTGCTGGCGGCCCCTCCAGCGCCCGCAGCACCGCAGCCCCCAGCCCCAGGGCCAGCAGGTGGGCCACCAGCAGGAGCCCGTAGCGGGCCCAGGGCCTCAGCCGGCCCATGGTGAAGCTGAAGTCTGGGGTGCTGTGGAGCCGGCACCTGGGAGGGGCTGGGCAGGGCTGCTCCACTGCGGGCACCTGGGAGGGGCTGGCAGGGCTGGGTGGAGATGCTGTGTGGGTGGCGGCAGGGACTCCACCGGGCTGAGGGCCAGGGAGGGCAGCTGAGCCCTGCTCCCAGGGATCCGGGCGGGGGAAGACCTTGGTGTAGCAGGTGACGGCGGCGAGGAAGCCCGGTCTGGAGGGGGCTCTCACGCTAATTGGAGGTCACTCTGGCTCAGCGACACCCAGCCCTCTCACCCAGTCCTGAGCATTGCCAGGGGCAGAGAGGGTGCCCCGCCCCCGGTTAGTAGAGGAACAGGACAGGCTGCCCAGGGACAGCACGGCTTCTGCCCCAGGGTGGTGGGGGGCAGGGAGGGATGAAGGGCAAGCGCCTGGCAGGTAGCACTGTCAAAGCCCTCCCACGTCCCTCTACGCCCCCCTCCTGAGGCCTGGCGGGCAGAGCCCTCCCGGGTCCTGGCGCGGCTCCCTGGCAGCCCCCGGTGCCAAGGGGAGTCCCCACACTGGAAGGTGGATGGGGTGTGTTCCACACGTGTCCAGCCCACGGGGCGGAGACAAACCCTGGGCAATCCTCCCAAGATGTCGGGTGAGGGCAGCATGGCCAGGAAGCTGCAGCTGGCCCAGGGGACGGGCAGGGACCACCCAGCAGTGGGGGTGTCACACGCGGTCACTGGATGGGGGAAGGGTGGGGGCGCCAGAGTGACCCGCTGTCCTGGAGGCCGCTGGAGGCTCCCTCCACGGTGGTGTGGGCCTACCGTGCAGCCACGAGGTCGGCCGCTCTCCCGGTTACCCCGACAGAAGGCCACAGGCTGCATTTGGGAGACAGCTTCCGCGTTTATTTGGCTTCATTGGATCCCAAGGCTACGGCCCCAGCCCTGGCCGGGGCAGCAGGAAGGCACGCAGAGAGCCCCTGGCCCCAGACGGCGCCCAGGGCGGGGCAGGAGAGAGGGGAGGGCCAGGCCCTGAGCCCTGGGGCAGGGGTCCCTCCTCCCTGCCCCTCCCCTGGGGCAATTCCCTGAGACAGGCTCTGGTCCTCCCAGCCAGCGGGGCAGCTCAGGCTGGGGGACCCACAGGCGGCAGGTCATCCAGTGTGAAGGCTTCCTGTGCAGTGTAGTGTTCCGGACCCCCGAGGGGGCGGGGTCCCTGGGGGAGACCGAGGCGGCCACACAGGCGTGTCGGGCTCCTGTTCCAGTGTATGCTGTGGCTCCTCCGGGCGGCAGGAGCTGGGGGCGTGCGGCCTGGTCGGCTCAGCGCCCCGCCTCCGGCGCCCATGGAGCCTGGGCACCCACGTCTTTGGTCTGCGCCCTGCAGTCCTGAGGCCTCCCCTGGAAGGGGTTGGCAGGCGGGGAGTCCCAGAAAGGGTCCGAGTCCGGGAACAAGGTCCAGGGTGCCCGTCGGGGCGCAGGCTGTGGCGAGGGCAGGGGTGATGGCCGGGGCCCCGCTGACACGAAGCTCCACGGGTCGATGCGGCTGCGGAGGGGTGAGGGCCGAGGTCGGCTGATGAGGCCCAGGGGTGGGGAGCGCGGTGTGCCCGGGGTGCCCGGAGCGGAGCGTGACGTCCCAGGCGGAGGTGAGACGGTGCCTCCTGCGAGTGAGTGGGGAGACACAGGTCAGGCAGCCGCAGGGCCCTTGCCCCCTCCCTGGTCTGCTCACCCCACCTCTGCACACGGTTAGGTGACTCGTGGCTTCCATGGCCCCCTAAGCTATGCGAGGAGCCAGGGTCCCAGCCCTGCCGTTAGAAGCTGGGGCGGCCTGAGTCCCCGGCCCGCACCCCCACCCCCACCCCCATGCTGTGGCCTAGTGGGTTAAGCGGCAGCCTGCAGTGCTGGCATCCCATATGGGAGCAGGTGCGAGTCCCCGTTGCTCCACTTCTGATCCAGCTCTCTGCTGTGGCCTGGGAAAGCAGCAGAAGATGGCCCAAGTGCTTGGGCCCCTGCACCCACGTGGGTGAAGCTCCTGGCTCCTGCCTGGCCCAGCCCTGGCCATTGCGGCCATCTGGGGAGTGACCCAGCAGAGGGAAGAGCTCTGTGTACCACTGTCCCCCAGTCTGTAACCCTCCCAAATAAATCGTCAAATCCTAAAACAGCCGCGTCACCACCATGCTCAGCTCCCACGCTGCTCTGCCGGGACTTGTGGTCCCAGCTCCCGGGGTGTTCCAGCGCCCGCATCCCTCCCGCACAGGGGACCGGCAGGGCCGCTCACCGCGTGTCTCCTCGCGGCGGGGGCTCTTGGCCGAGGGCTGGCCCGCGGGGACAGCCAGGTCCAGCAGCAGGGGCGCCGGGGTGGGCGTCTTGGCTGAGAAGCGGATGAGTGAGGAAGGAGGTGGCTCAGCTGGGCTCGGTGGGGGTACCGGCACGGGGGACGCTGGCGGCAGCTCCCCGCGCTCGCGGCCCGCTGGTGGCTGCAGGTCGCGGCCGAGGCCCAGCGAGGCGAGCAGGGCGGTGCCGCGCAGGAGTGCGCGCTGGATCAGCTTGGGCGTCCCGGAGCTGCTCCCGCGCTCGCCGGGGCTGGGCCGCCGGGGCTCCTCCGGCTCTGGGCTCGGCCGCGGAGGGTTACCTGCGGGCGGGGCAGCGTAGGTTAGGCCGAACCCGCGAGTCTTCCCTGGCCGCCCCGCCCCTGCACGCACGCAGGAGCAAAGCCGCAAGGGGCCAGATCACAGTGTCTCAAGCCCCTCTGCCTTCCTGCATCCCACCCCCCAACCCCGCCAGTGGCAGCTTGGGTGGAGTGGGCAGCAGCGCCCCCATTCCCACAATGCACTGAGCCTAGAAGAGGCCAGGCCTGGGCCAAGGCCTCAGCAACTGTCTACGCCAGGCCCAAGCTAAAGGGCTTGGGGGCTTGATGCTGTCCGAGCCTCCTGCCCCAGCCCCACGGTGCAGCCGCCTGTGGGCACCCGCATGAGCGCCAGGTGCAGTCCCGCGGCTCCAGCCCCCTGCTCATGGCCTGGGAAAGCAGCAGAACACGGCCCAAGTGCTCAGCCCCTGTGCCCACGCGGGAGACCTGGCTCCTGGCTGAGGCTGGCCCAGCCGGGGCTGTTGCAGCCATTTTCAGAGCGAACCAGTGGGTGGAAGATCTCTCTGTCCCTTCCCCTAACTCTTTCAAATAAATAACTCAATATTAGAAAAAACAAAAACAAAAACAAAAAAAACACACACACAAGAGGCCGCGGCCTGCGCAAGGCTGCACAGCTGGAGCAGTGGGCCGGGCCTCGCTCCGGGCAGCAGCAGCTGGGCCTGTGCTCCGGCCACTGCCTGGCCACCGTCCACCCTGGATTCCGAGGCATCGGCCTCCTGCCGTGGGCGTTGGGCTGGCCTGGGGGTGGACGGGGCGCGTCCTGGAGGAGGAGGAGGTGTCCCTGGGGTGCTGCCCGCAGCCCGACAGATGCCTGCCAGCTCTCAGCCACAGAGGGAGCCCGGCCCCGGCTGTGCTCTCCGGCTGGCCCTGGCCTCTCTGCCGTCCTCCGCGCCTGGCGAGGAGGAGGGGCTCGGCCAGCCAAGGTGAGCTGCTGCCGTCAACGGGACTGGGCAGCTCAGCCCGGCGACGCCCTGCCGCCACTCCCTCGCCGCTCTGGGCAGCTGCTCCCCGGGGGCCTAGAGGGCTCCTAAGTGCAAGGCTGCTCAAGAACCATCTCTGCTTAAGAACTCCCCACCGCTTCCAGACTCGCCCACGCAATCACTCTACAAACATCCGCTGACCCACGTCCCAGGGGATGCAGGTCCCTGGCTCTCGGTTCCGCGCGGGGTTACCCAGGCTTCCTCCTCCCTGGGGCTGCTCAGCCGGGGCACACACGATGCCCTCAGCCTGGCACACCTTTCCCGCCTCGGCTTGCAGGGGTCTCTCGCTCACCATTGAAGACCTAGCTGAGCTCTCACCTCCTCCGTGAAGCCTCCCCAGATCCCCTGAACCTGTGCACTTACTGCCTTCGGGAGGCCTCCCGGGGCACCTGCTTCCTCCACCAGATCTCTAACATCTGGGTCCTGAATGCCGGATGGCAGGATCCCCAGGGCGCCTCACGGGCCGGAGGCCGGGGTCCCTCACGGTGGGTGTGAGCAGAGCAGGGAGAAGACTGCTTAAGGCAGCGAGAGGGATGAGGCAAAGGGAGAGGAGGTGGGGGCAGCGCAGGAGACGAGGGAGAACACAGGTTTGTGCAGTCAGCGGCCTGAGAAACCGGGCTTCGGAGCGGGTGGCTCGTTGGAGGTGTCCCGGCGGTGAGCTGCGAGAAGGCAGCGGGCCCATTCCGGACCCGGAGCGGGAGTGGACTTGCGCGCGTGGGGCCCTAGGGACAGAGCCTGGCCCCTGGCAGTCAGGGCCTGGGGCAGAAGCTTCACCAGGCGGTGTGTCATGGGGCTGGGCAGTGAGTGGCCGCGGCCCCCGCAGCTGGGGACAGGGTGGCGGCCATAGGGACACACAGCCAGGGCCCTGCTGCCGCGGCTGATGCCGGGACAATCCTCCCGAGGCCCCATTCTCATTTTCAGCCAGGGCTCCGGGCCTGGTCCAGATCCCTGCTCTGTGGGCGGCCTGCACGGGCCACGCACCCACTCTGTGCCTGTCTCCACCCCTCTAAAATGGAGCCCACGACGACGGCGCCTCCTCACGGGACTGCCTGTGTTTCGGGGAGACCTGGCAAAGGCTAGCTGTCGTGACTGTTAGCGATGGTGACGCAGGAACGGCGGACGTGACGGGGGGGCATGGGGAGAGGCCCGGCTGCTGAGCAGGGCCGGATCTGCCAGCGCTAAGCTGCAGGTGTTCCGGCCGCGAGCAGCAGGGCTGGGGGCTGCAACTTCCGGGGCCTCCGAGGCCCAGCAGTGCCGGGGCCCGGTGCGGGGCTCAGCGCTCGGCTGACCCTCCGGCTGCTAAGCGCTGTGCACGCGAGGGCACCCCCCGGCCTGTGTTTCCCATGTGGAAGCTTCTAAGGCAGCTCGCTGTGAGTGTGGGAACCGAAGTCTCGGGGGTCCTAACGCTTAGCTGGGGGTCTGGAGTTGCTCATTCCACCTCTGGAACCTCAGCCTCCCCATCTCTGCAACGGGCATGAGAAGGGCACCAGGCAGTCGGTGCTGGGGCGAACGCCCGTCATGCAGCGGGCGCTGCCGTCCTCAGGGAGAAGCCACGGCCTGCCCCGGCACGGGAGCGCGGGCCCCCTCGGCCTCCTCTCCAGCACTGGGCTCCTCACGGGGCTGGGAGACGCACACGGCGGCAGCCGCTCATCTGCGCCTGGCTCCACCCCTGCACTGTCTCCCCTTCTCCCGGCTCAGCCAGCGTCCATGGGGCACCCGACGGTGCTTCCTTTGCTCCCGTGAGTCTGCCGAGGCCCGGGGGCTGCCGCGGGGCCAGGGGCACTAGACTAGGCGCCCTGAGGCCTGGACTGCAACCAGGCTGCCTGTGGGCCTGCAGCTTGGACGTGGGTTCCGAGGATCGGCTCGGCTCGGCCCGGCCAGGGCCTGCGTGGTGGGGGAGGCCGCTTACCGTTGAGCGCCGGCGGTGTGGAAGGAGACCCCAAGGGCGACGAGTCCTCTGAATCCAGATTCCAGGTGGCTTCCTCCACGCGGGACCTCCTCCTGGGCGGGGGGGGGGGGGCCTCTGTGAGTCTCGCGACCGTGGGGAAGGGGCTGAAGCTGGGCGGGGGCACTGGGCACTCACCTCCCGTCCTGGGCCTCTCCGGGCTTGGGGGGACTGGGACCCCAGGCCCGGCACCCTCGCCGCTCGCCGCTGCTCGAGTCTTCTAGACGCCTGGGGGACTGGCGGCCCCACGCCTGGCCCGGCTCTGCAGGCTCCACTGTGCGGGGGCGGGGGGAAGCCGAGGGGGTCAGGGCCGGGGTGGGCCTGGGTTCTGGGGACAGCAGGGAAGGGGGACACCTCATGTGGTCTAACGGCTGGCATTTGATGCCGAGAATTTAGTGCAGGCCCTGACGCCAATGGCCTGGTTTTGAGTTCTGGCCTTTGCCACTCAGCTGTACAGCAAGTCCTCTGGTCCCTGCTGCCCATGTGGAAGACCCAGACTGACTTGCAGGTTCCTGGCTTTAGCCCGGCCCCCAGCCTCAGTGGTTTTGGGTATTTGGGGAGCAAGCCAGCAGATGGGAGCTCTCTCTGTCTTGCAAATAAAGGACTTAGGTTTAGGCTACAGTATCTACCTAACAGGTAGATACCTCTACACCCAACAGGATTGTCGTAAGGAATTAACATCAGCAGAGTTGCCAGGACAATGGGTAACACGCAGCGTCACCCAGGTAACTAACTGATTAAAAAACGAAGAATGAACGTGTGTCGGGAAGCCCAGGGCAGGGAGGAGGAGGAGGCGGCCGTGGGGCACGGGAGGCGAGGGTTCTTACACTGGATGGCCCGGAACCGGGGGAAGGTGGGCGAGTCCCCAGCTCCGACTTCGAAGACGTTTTTCCTCCGGTCAAGGCCGGGCGAGGCCTGCACGGTGATGCGGTGCTTAAAGTCTGGGGTTTGGGCAGGGGGGAGCAGGGTGTAGGTTTGTGGTGAAGGCAGCAGCGCCTCGGCTCACTGCCTTCCCGGGCGCCGTGCTCCGCAAGCAGAGACCTGCGGGACCCCACCACCGGGAGCCGCGCCCAGAATCCGGCATCGGGGCTGAGCCCGGCCCGGCCCGGCCCGGCCCGCCCCCTGGGCGGTCCCAGAACCTCCACGAGCCCCGCCCCTCCCCGGGCGCAGCCACTCCCAGATCGGCATGCAAATATTTCCGCCAGAAGCCGCCCACAGACGGAAAAAGAAACCACTCCTGGCCCCACCCCTTCCAGATTTCAGCCCACCCGCCAACCCTTTAAACCAATCCCAGCGCGGCCAACGAAGAAGCCGGACCCCGCCCCCTCGCCGCTGCAGCCAATGGCGGGGCGCCGCCTGGAGCCCGCCCCCTCACCGAGTGGCATGCTGATGCGCTCGCCCCCGTCGCGCGCCCGCAGCTTGCTCCGCTTGAAGGTGCCGCGGCGGCGGCGCACGTGCGGCCGCTCGCGGTCCACTTGCTGCAGCAGCAGCGTCAGCTCGCGCTCGAACACCTCCAGCTCCCACTGGGCCAGCAGGTGCTCGCGCCGCCGCAGCTGCTCCGCCTGCGACCGCTGCTCGCGCGCCGCGCGCGTCAGCTCCTCCTCGCGGCTCAGCAGCTCCTGCGCTCGGGACGGCGAGGGCGGTGGGGTCAGCCAGGCGCCTCCCGCTCCCGGCCCTGCCCCTGCCCACCCCGGGGCCCGACTTCCCGCACCTTCTCCTTGGCCCGCAGCTCGTCGAACAGGCCCTGGATCTCGCGTTTCCAGCCTTCCTGCATGGAATGGAACGAGTCCCGCGGCATTTCCCGCAGGACCTGTGCCTCCAGTGCCTCCAGCTGCTGCAGGATGGAGGCGAAGTCGGGCCTGCGGTGGGGGTCCTGCGCCCAGCAGTCTAGGGGCACGGCGTGGAGGGGGAACAGAATAAGCGAGTCTGTGGGTGGCTACGTCCCGGGCCAAGGAGCTCTGCCTCTCAGCTGGCCGCCCCGCGTGCTTACCGGCCATAAGCTGTGCAAAGGGCTCCGGGCAGGTGGATGGGATGGGCAGTGTGAGCTTGTTAACGGCCACGCCATAGGCCACGGCAAGGCAGTCGATCCCGCGGTAGGGCACTTCCCCGGTCAGTAGTTCCCACAGCAGCACCCCAAAGCTGTGGGGGAGACAGAGGGCCTGTGTCCCTTCCTTGCCCGCTTCCTGCCACTTCACCCCCCCAATCATCCCAGAAACAAATGGTGTGGGTCCCTTCCGGCAGTCCCCCACAGCGGCCCCCTGGCCTAGGCCGCACCTCCAGACGTCGCTGCCCTTGGAGAAGGTGGAGGCCTTGATGACCTCGGGCGCCATCCAGGCGTACGTGCCGGCAGCGCTCATCTGCGTGGTCTTGTGCCACTCTCGGGCCAGGCCAAAGTCGGTGATCTTCAGCGTCTTGTGTTCCATGTCGTCACCCTCAATGGGCTGCAGCAGCAGGACTGCGGGGAGAGAGGGCGCCCAGGGTCGGGTGGGAGGGCTGGGAGCCCGCTGTCCTCCGCAGGACCCTGACATGGAGAAAGCCTGCCAGCTGCCAGGCCACGGGTGACGCTCAGGGCCGGGTCGCTGCCCTACACCGGGAGCAGGCCGCACAAGGGCCGCGGACGCGGGTGTCAGGGCACGGACACGCCTTGGTCTAGACCTTGCCTTGGGGGTGTCGCAGCCCTGAGCGTCCTGGAATCGGACTGAAATAGCGGCGCCGGGCACAGGCGCTTTCTGGCATTTCAGATGCCCACGTCCCACGCTGGGGGCCTGGCTCTGCTCCTGATTCCAGCTCCTGGCTAACGCAGGCCCTGGGGGTCAGCAGGTGACGGCTCAAGGCCGTTGGGTCCCTGCCGCCTGCACTCCAGGCGTTTGGGGAGTGAACCCGTGGATGGGAGTTTGCTCTCTGTCCGTCTCTGTCTCTCTCAAACAAGCAAACAGAAATAAAAGGAAACGATAATGACCGCACTGGGACACCTTTTCGGAGGATCTACGAGAGGCCACCTCGAGGTGGGTGTGAACATTCCCACCGTACAGATGAAGGCCACGCCGGGAGTGACTCGCCAGGGGAACACAGCGATAAGGCAGGGAGTGCGGCTCCACAGCCGGCGTTCCAACTCCCCTCGCAATGCAGCGCATACGACCAGCTGGCAGCCTGCCAAGCGCTCCCCAGCCCTGGCTTTGGCTTGGAGAGAAATCGGCGAGGCTGGGGGGCTGACTCAGAGCACCTGCGGCAGGACCAGGCCGGTGCAGCCAGTGCCAGGGGAACCACTCCAAAAGCCACCTCCTGAGGCAGCTGGATGTGAAGAGAAAGGGCGGCCACGGGGGACGAGCTGGGGGCAACCGCGGGAGCGCAGGGTCAGGCTGGGCGGGGGCGCGGCTCTCACCCCGGGGGGGGGGGGGCTGGGGGCAGACGCCCAACTCCATGCGGGATGCAAGTGGCTCAAGCGGAACAGGAAGAGGACCAAGTCACAGAACAGCAAAGGCTGAGAGGCTGAGAGGCCACGTCTGGGTCAGCCACGTCTCTGTGCACGTCCCAGGGCCCACCTAACCCAGCCTAGGGGGTCAGGGAAGACTTCTCGGAGGCGGTGGCAGACCAGGGTGTACACAACCTCTGGCCCTGCTACTGGCCGAGCCCCCCGAACCTCACGAAGCCCCTGGCCTGGCGGTCCGGCCCCTTCCTGCCGTCCACGGCTCCCGGGCCGCCGGCTCTTCCCTACAGCCATCTTCACCCGGGCCGGCGGCATCTTTCACATTCGGAGCTCCAGGCCCGCCAGGAGTCGATCCGGCCGCCCACTGACCGGTCCACCTGGTGGTCACATGCCCACTGGCCGCTCCACCTTTGCCACGAACCCACGCATGTGCATGGCAGAGGCGGCAGAGTCCCTGCGATCTCTCCTGAATCAAAATCCACCTGCTGCGGAGAGCCTAGCGGTGCCGAGCCCCGAGCCGAGGCTGACGACAGACCACGCGCTCCAGGCCTGCGCGGGGCCCACGCAGCGCAGCCACCCGTTGCGCCACACGCTCTGCTGCCCGCGTCCTCACGTCCACTCTGGCCTCTCCCCATCTTACACTCCTGCCAGTAAGCTAAGCCCTGCGCGGGCTCCACCCAAGAGGAACCGCGACAGGCCGGGGGCAGCTGGGTGGAGCGGGGGCCTCCCCTTCTCGGCGCTCCATCCCTCGCCATCTGTGGGACCTCAGAGCTGGCACTGGGCTCTCCAGCTGGGAGGCCGTCTCCCCCTCTCACAGTGGGGGCTTCTGAGGCACACAGAAGGCCAGGAACCCCCAGTCTCCCAACACGAGGCCCTTCTGCTGCCCCCCCCCCCCCGACACCTGCTAAGCCTCAGCTTCACTCCGCAGCCGCTGCTACCAGCCTGGACCTCAACTGTCCCTGCCCGCGCTCTGGTGCCGCCGCAGACCTGGCCCCAGCCTGGACCTCAACTGTCCCTGCCCGAGCTCTGGTGCCGCCGCAGACCTGGCCCCAGCCTGGACCTCGACTGTCCCTGCCCGAGCTCTGGTGCCGCCGCAGACCTGGCCCCAGCCTGGGCCTCGACTGTCCCTGCCCGAGCCCTGGTGCCGCCGTAGACCTCCGGGATGGGTGGGCAGGGCACCGGCTCCAGATCCCAGGGCTGGGCAAGCCTCAAGGCACCCCAACTCTGAAAGGGACCCGCCTCCAGGCGCCCTCCCGCCATGGCCTCTGTGGGGCTTGGGAGTGGCCTGGGGCGCTCACCCCTCTTCCACTTCCCTGCCATGGTCCCTACTTCTCCTTTCTGCCAGGCCTGAGCCGGGTCTCCCACTGGGGAGGGGGTTCTTTGGGGGAAGAACTGGGGGAGGCCAGGCCCAGGCCGGGCTGGCTGGTCAGTCCTGTGACTCGTGGGCCTGGAGAATTCCCCCTCCTCTCCCCGCCAGGCTTCCTCACAAGGCCCCCATTGTCCAGGAAAATCACGCCATTGTTTCCTGCCTGCGCCCCCCATCCCCCCCACCCCAATCCCACAGACGGCAGCTCGGGCCCAGGCCTGGGGTCTGCGAGGCTGGACGTGGGGCTCCGGGAGCCCAGGGCACCTTGCCTGCCCTTTTCCACCACCGCCCAGACTCTGAGAAGGAAGCGGGGGAATTGGGGAGGAGCGGGGGAGCCATCAGCGGCTCCTTCCTCTCCTGCCACCCCCCACCCCCAGGCAGCTGGGCTGGGGAGGGAGCAGGGGCTGAGCAGGGCAGGAAGCCGGCCCAGGGGCAGCAGGAAACGCAGGAAGCGGTGGGGAGGGTGGGGAGCAGGGGCCGGGCTATTGTTCCATTTCTTCTGGAAAGAAAACGGAGGAAAAACAGAAGACAGGAGTCCCCTCCCCCTGGACCCGCGGGGAATCCCCCTTAGGCTGGGGCAAGGAGTCGGGGTCCCTGGATGGCGGGGCCGGGGTCCAGGGGTGACGCAGAGCCATGGGAGCTGCCCCCTCTGATGGAAGAGGCAAGTTCCAGAAAGGTCTCGGTGCTCTGCTGCCCCCACCCCCAGCCCCATGTCCACGGTCAGCCCAGGCCAAAAGGCCCACATACCCACGCTGACCCCTCATAAGAGCTTTTCCTGCCTCTCCACGGCCCTCCTGGGCCCCGGCCCCAGCATTCCCCACACCCTGGGCCCCGGCAGGGCCTGGTCCCCGGTGCTCCCCACTGGGCTGGGTCCTGCCCCGTGCCCTTGCCGGCTCATCAGGCTCTCCCCAAACGCTGCCGGCCCTGCCTGGCGCAGAGCTCGCCAGCCAGGGAAGCCCCCCGAAACTGTCACTCGCTCGGCCCGGGCCCCCGACGGGCAGCCCGTGAGGGCCTGGAACAGCCAGAGGCGGAGGTTCCCTCAGCCCAGCACTGGCTCCAGGCGAGGCCCTTGGCGGTGCAGTGGGCAAGGCCCTTGGCGGTGCAGTGGGCAAGGCCGAGGGCCCTCCGCAGGTCAGGCATCGAGGGCCAGGCCGCTAGGCCGTTCCCCTCCCTTCTCAGGGACTGAGACAGGCTCCCAGCTGGAGGTCCTGCAACAGCCGGGGGTGGGACTGGAATCCCAGCCTTGGAAGGGGCTGCCCTCCCCCCAGGTGCGGGAGGAGCTGCCTCCACACCGGTGAACTTCAGGGCAGGGGCCAGCGGGGGGCACAGGCACACGCGGTGGGGCAGGGTGCTCACGCCCCACCCCAGAGCTCCCGGTCTCTTAACTCGCCCGAACCGCAGTGGCAGGCTGGGGCCTGGCAGGGCTCTCCCGGGAGCCCGGGACTCCCACTCTGGGGTCACCCGGGATCGCCCTAGGCCAGGAGCTCCTGTCTCCAGGACGGGTGGTGGGAGCCGGCCTTGCCACCCGCCCCCAAGCTCTCCCCACTCCCGGGAACTCACTGTTGTTGGATTTGAGGTCGCGGTGGATGACGGGCACCAGGGCTTCGCAGTGCAGGTAGTGCATCCCGCGGGCGATCTGCACGGCCCAGTTGACCAGCACATGCGGGGGCACGCGGCGGCCGGCCAGGGCGCGGCTGAGGGGCCCCCCGGCCGCGTACTCCATCACCAGGCACAGGTTGGGCTCCTCCAGGCACACGGCCTTGAGGGCGATGATGTTGGGGTGCGCCAGCATGGCAAAGAGCCGGGCCTCCTGACGGACGCTCTCCGCCGTCACGCTGATGTCCTCGTCCGGGTCCTGGCGGGCCGCCTTCACGGCCACCAGCTCGCCCCGCCAGCTGCCCCGGTACACCTTGCCGAAGCCGCCGATGCCGATCACCTCCTCCAGCCGCAGCTCCTGGAAGCTGGCCACCTCGCAGGGAGGCGGCCCGCCACCCCTTGACACGTAGTTGGATGGAAAGATGCCCACCTGGCCACCCACCTGGCCCGCCCACCAGCCCTCATCTCCGGAGATGGCCGCGTCCCGAGACAGCACCTCCACACGGTCGCCCTTCCGCAGTGCCAGCTCATCCTGCCCGCTGGGCTCGTAGTCGAACAGGGCTGTCCACACGGGGTTGGCATACGCCGCTGCCCTGGGCGACCCCTCCGGCCGGCCCCCGCTGCCGCCGCCGCCGCCGCCGCCGCCCCCGCCGTTCCAGGACCCCAGAGGGCTCTTCAGGAAGAGGTTCTTCAAGGGCTCCATGGCCAGGAGCCGGTGCTGGGAGGTGTGGGCGCCTCCTCTGGGTGCCCCTGGCTCTTACCCCCGCTGGCGGCCGCAGAGGCCCTACTCCCGGAACCTGGGCATCCGGGCCCTGGCCCTCAGCCCCAGACCCACGCCTCTCTGGGGAGCCAGGAGTGTCGCCTCCCGGCCCCCCGCATCTCCGGCTTCTGGAGGTGCGCACCCAGGGTGGTCCGGTCAGGCTGGAGGGGTGGGGCCCCCGGGCCTCCGGTGCCTCACCATGGCTGGCTTGGAGGGGCTGGAGGGTCCCGCAGTCCCGGGCTAGTCCTGGAAGTCTGGGTTTGACTCCAGCGCCCGCTGAAGGTTCGGCGGGGCCCGCCCGGGGCAGCGCTGGGGCTCGGTCCGGGGTCTTCCTGCTCGGGAGGCGGAGGGCGGGTGCGTCCTCGGCTGAGCCAAGGCTGCCTCTTCCCGGGCCGGCTCCCTCGGCCCGACGGCTCCGACCCCGTTCCCTTCTTCCTCCTCCCTTTGTACTTTGGCCCCGGGGGCGGGAGGCAGAGGTGGAGGGTGGAGTTTCACTTTTTTCCGCTCTTCTCCCTCCTGCAGGAAACAGCATCAGATGACGCGGGCAGGCTGCACCGCTCCGCTCCCGGAGGCTCCGGGCGGCTGGGCTGGGGAGTTCCCGGGGAGGCGGGAGGTCCGCACGGGTAGCCTCAGACCCCATCGCAGCCGGCTTGGGGGTCCGGGCTGGGACGTCCGCTGTCTAGGATGGCCCACGCCTGCCCTCGGCGTCCAGCGGGCCCAGAGGAGCAGAACCGGGCCTGGGCGCGCCGCAGCCCCCAGGCCGGCCTAGGCTGGGAGGTGGCAGGGCCGGAACTGCGTCCTCTCGGGCGTCCGTGCGGTGACACACAGAGACGACGAAGCGCCGCCTGGCAGAGCGGGTGGGCTGCAGGTGGGGAAGTCGGCCGCGCCTCCCCTGCGCGGACCGGCTAGGCTCTCCTCGTCCCCTCGCCTGAGAAACACCCCGCAGCTTCCCGTCCCCTCTGCAACGGGCAGAAACCCGAGACAGCGGTCCGGAACTCCGCCCGGGATTGCATTCAGAATAGCTGAGTCGTCCTCACAAGCGCTGGTCGGGGTGACCCGTATTGTTTTGAGCCTGTCCCTTTAAGAAAGACGACGTTCTCCCGTTTCGACTACTTCTGCCTGTTCCGGAGAGTCGCGCTCTACACACCGGGTCTGAGCTCTGACCCGGAAGGGGAGGTGCTCGTGACGTAGGGAGGTCTAGCACTGAAAGGGGCGTAGAGCTCGGGGAGCTGTGGCCCTGAGGCGTCCACGCCTCCTCTAACTCATTGGAAGATTTTTGCACCAATTACTTCGTCGCTGCCCAATGGCTACTCAAGTGTGCCTTTGGTTCCTCCCAGCGGTCTCCACCAGGTTGGCCGCGCCCGGCTGTACGCATGCGCCCAAGCGCTTCTCCGGCCCGTACTCGCCGGACCCGGACTGCGCACGCCCAAAGGGCACCTCCGCGTCCCCCCGCTGCGGCTGCCCTCTGCGCCTGCGCACTCCAGCCGGCAGATTTTTCCTTTTCCGGGTCCCCGCTGGGTTCATCCGGCGCATGCGCCACTGCAGGCTGGCGGCTCGCGGCTCCTTCTTCCGGCCTCCCCCTTGGGCCGGCACCGGCAGCGGCGAGGCGGGCACGGAGCCCCGAGCGGGTGACCTGCGACCCCGGAAGTGGACCTCAGGATCCCGGGGCTTTCCCCTGTCCGAAACCAAGGGACCGGCCGCCTGCACTCCGGGAGCGCCCGCCCCACGCCCACATCTGGATGCCGCCAACGGGTGCCCGGCCCGTGCCCGGCGCCTGCCTGCCGACTCGGCCCCTCGGAGTGGTTCTGGGCCAGGGGCGGAGGCCCGGACCCCGCCCCTGATGCGGCCCCACCCCTGCGCCCGGTCCTTGTCCCCTTGACGGCCCCGCCCCCTGCCCGCACCCTCGGCCCGCCGATCTCCCCTCCCCCGCTGGGGGAGGCCATGGCGTGAGCGCGAGGCCGGGCCCCCGGGCCCTCGGGCGCCAGGCGGGGCATGGGCCGGGGGCCGCCCCCATGAGGGTCCCGGGCGCGGGGCGCGCGCAGCAGCGGCGGGGCCATGGGGTCTCAGGTGTTGCAGATCCTGCGCCAGGGGGTGTGGGCCTCGCTCACCGGCGGCTGGTTCTTCGACCCGCACCAGAGCACCTTCTCCAACTGCTTCCACCTCTATGTCTGGATCTTCCTGCTCACTTTTCCCTTCTTGCTGTACATGGTGAGACGGCGGCCGGTCCCGGAGGGCGGGCAGCCTGGTGGGCTCTGCGGCCGGGCCCTGGGGCGCTGGGGGGCGGGGACCCAAGTGGCTGCAGAGTTTGAACGTGTGGAGCTGAGCCGAGTGTCTTCCTCTCCTGGGCTGGGTGACCTTGAGCCCCTCTGTTCGTGTTTTTCTGCTGTTAAGTGGGAGACAGAGCCCCCGTAGGGTCTCAGGCTGGCGCCTTGGCCGGCTGTGAGGGTGGTGGCAGGTGCACCCCGGGGGGCGGGACCTGACTCGCTGCCCCCTCCAGGTCCTGCCCCCCAGCCTGATAGTGGCCGGCGTGTACTGCCTGGTGGTGGCCGTCATCTTCGCCACCATCAAGACGGTGAATTATCGCCTGCACGCCATGTTCGACCAGGGCGAGATTGTGGAGAAGCGCAGCTCGACCGTGGGGGAGCCTGAGGAAGAACCGGCCCAGGGCGACGGCAACCCGCCTCGGTGGGTGGAGCCGAGAGCGTGCTGGGGGCTCCTGGTGCCTGTGCCTGAGCCTGGGGAGTGCCGGCCGCCTGGGTGGGTGTGAGTGGTTGCGCCGCGGCCAGCCCTGGGCTTGCGAGGAGCTGATCGGAGGGGAAGCAGGGATGAGGCTGCTGGGGGGTGACGTGGAAAGGTAGGGGTGGGGGGGTCAAAGCTCCCGCTCTTTCCCGCCCAGGGACCCTGGAGTGGAGATGACGGTGTTTCGGAAAGTGAGTTCCACGCCTCCCGTCCGCTGCAGTTCCCAGCATTCCGTGTTCGGCTTCAACCAGGTCTCGGTGAGTGATCGCAGCCCCTGGCTTGTCCCACCGCTCTCCCGGGAGGCGTCTGTGGCGTGGGCACGCGCCGAGCTCTCACCCCGTGTGCTCCCTCGGGCCCCTCTGCCTGCTCAGGAGCTGCTGCCCCGGATGGAGGATGCTGGACCCCTCAGAGGTAGGCGGAGGCTGCGCAGGGCTGGGACCGGGTGGCGTGGCCCGGCTCCCAGGGTCCCGCTGAAGCAGCCGGCGCGCTGGTTGCAGACATCAAGGAGCTGGTGCGCGAGCAGGGCAGCAACAATGTGATCGTGACCTCGGCCGACAGAGCGATGCTGCAGCTGAGCTCCCAGGAGAGACTGCGTGAGTGGCCGGGGGTGGGAGACGCGGGCCTGGTCCAGTCGCCCCAGCCGTGCTCCGTCTCAGGACATCCTGGGCTGGCTGTCGGGACGGGCGCAGGCCCGGACACCCGCTCAGCCCCCAGGCTCGGCAGGGTGCCTTCTTTCATTCTGTTTCCCTCCTGGCAGTTGGAGACCTTCCGCAGACACCCCCGGGCGCTGTCCCAGAGCCCTCGCTCCCCAGCACGGACTCTTCGGAGCGGTCCCCCCTGGCTGGAGATGGAGGCCCCTGGGGCGGGAGCAGCGTGGCCGACACCCCCATGAGCCCCCTGCTGAAAGGGAGCCTCAGCCAGGAGCTAAGCAAGAGCTTCCTGACCCTGACGCGGCCCGACCGGGCCTTGGTGAGGACCAGCAGCCGCCGGGAGCAGCGCCGGGGGGCCAGCGGCTACCAGCCCCTGGAGCGGCGCGGCTCCGGCGAGCCCACGCCGCAGAAAGCCGGCTCCTCGGACTCCTGCTTTAGCGGCACTGACCGGGAGACCCTGAGCAGCTTCAAGAGCGAGAAGACCAACTCCACCCACCTGGACAGCCCGCCCGGTGGGCAGGCCCCCGAGGGCAGCGACACGGACCCGCCCTCCGAGGCCGAGCTGCCGGCGTCACCGGACGCAGGGGTCCCCTCGGATGACACGCTGCGCTCCTTCGACACGGTCATTGGAACAGGGACGCCGCCGGGACCTGCTGAGCCGCTCTTGGTGGTGCGGCCCAAGGACTTGGCCCTGCTGCGGCCCAGCACGCGGCGGCCCCCGCTGCGAAGACACTCCCCGCCTGGCCGAGCCCCGCGCCGGCCCCTGCTCGAGGCTGGGAGCTTCTTTGAGGACGAAGACACCAGCGAGGGCAGTGAGCTGAGCCCGGCTTCCAGTCTGCGGTCACAGCGCCGCTACAGCACCGGCAGCTCCTCGTCTACCTCCTGCTATTCCCCCGAGAGCTCCCGGGGTGCAGCGGGGGGGCCCCGCAAGCGGCGGGCCCCTCCCGGGGCTGAGGAAGGGACCGCAGTGCCCCCCAAACGGCCCTATGGGACCCAGCGGACGCCCAGCACCGCCAGCGCCAAAACACACGCCCGCGTGCTGAGCATGGATGGCGCGGGGGGTGATGTGCTCAGGGCGCCCCTGGCTGGCTCCAAGGCTGAGCTGGAGTCTCAGGCAGGGGTGGAGCTGGCTGCCGGAGAGCCCGCCGTGCTGCCTGCCGAGGCCCGCAGGGGACCTGCTGCCAACCAGCCGGGCTGGCGAGGGGAACTGCAGGAGGAAGGTGCAGTGGGCGGAGGTGAGTGCTGCGCCGCGGCCTGGGGTTCGGGCAGCCGGAGGCGTGGGCTTGCACAGAGACCTGGCAGAGTGAGCCCGGCGTCTGTCTCAGGCCGCTGGGGCGCGCTGTCTGCCCAGCCTCTTAGCACCTGGCCCCGGGGCCGGGGTTGGCACCTGGGCCTCTGTTCCCTGAGGGCTCGCGTCGTCCTGGCCGCTGGTGGAGCAGGGCAGGTGCATGCTGTGTGTGGGTTTTTTTTCAATTTGAGAAGTGGGGCTACAGAGCGTGGGAGAGAGAGGTCTTCCCCCCGCTGGTTCACTCCCCAAATGGCCACAACAGCCGGAGTGGGCCAGTCTGAAGCCAGGAGCCAGGTGCTTCCTCCTGGTCTCCCACACGGGTGCAGCGGCCCAAGCACTTGGGCCATCCTCCACTGTTATCCCAGGCCATAGCAGAGAGCTGGATCAGAAGAGGAGCAGCCGGGACTAGAACCGGCGTCCATATAGGATGCCAGCGCTTCAGGCAGAGGCTTATCCCACTACGGCACAGCGCCGGCCCCTGTGGTTATTTCCAAATGAGGAAACTGAGGCACAAACGGCTAGGTGACTTGGCGGGCCCCAGAGCCGGTACCTGGTTGGACGAGACCTGACCGGTAGCTCGTGGCGGAGTCCTGCCCCCCACCCCGCCCCCAGCTCTGGAACTCGCCCTCGGGGGCCTCTCTCTGACAGCCCAGGAGAGCGGCCAGCGGGACCCGTCCAGCAGCGTGAGGCGGACCCAGGCCATCCGGAGGCGTCACAACGCAGGCAGCAACCCCACGCCCCCGGCCTCCGTCATGGGCTCGCCCCCCAGGTGAGCAGCCACCAGCTGGGCCGGGGGGCCGTGGGGAGCGGCCGGCCCTGGCTGGCGCTGACCGGGCCCCACCTCCCCAGCAGCCTGCAGGAGGCTCAGCGGGGCCGGGCCGCCTCGCACTCGCGGGCGCTGACGCTGCCCTCGGCGCTGCACCTGGCCTCCTCGCTGCTGCTCCCCCGCGCCGGCGCCACCGTGCACGAGGCCTGCACCTTCGACGACACCTCCGAGGGCGCCGTGCACTACTTCTACGACGAGAGCGGTGAGCCCTTCCCCGAGCCAGGCCCGCTGCAGCTCCCACTCCCGCCACGGTGCTCGCCTGGCCTGCGCAAGCGCTGTACCCACATCACCTGGTGCCGCCTTTGCCGTGTCGCTGAGGCACGGGTGTTCTCACCGCCCGCTCTGTGGAGTCCAGGGGAGCGGGTGTCTTTCCCTGTCCAGCGCTCTGGGCGCTGGGCTGCCCTCCCGGGGGACGCGCGTGAGGTTCTTCCTCCTTGGTGGCGCTGCTGCTCCCTCACCTGTACGTCCCTGCCCCAGGTGTGCGGCGTTCTTACACCTTTGGCCTGGCCGGAGGCGGCTATGAGAACCCTGTAGGGCAGCAGGGGGAGCAGGCAGCCAACGGAGCCTGGTGAGTCCAAGCTGGACCTGTCCCGGGTGGGCCGCCTTCTGGGACCCCCTGAGCCTGGGGTGTTCTCGCCTCTGTTGGGGTGGGGCGGGGGAGGACCGGGACCGGTGAAGCCCAGAGCTGCGCCCGCAGGGAGCCCTGGCGTTCCTGGCTCCGTGACACTTCTGTGCCGGAAGCTCCCAGATGTCTGGGGCTGGCCTCCAGGGAGGCAGATGGGGGAGTGTGGCCTCGGTACCATGTCGCCTGCCTCTTCTGGCTCTCGTGTCCTTTTGTCCTGGAGCCCTCGGGCTTAGGACAAGCTGCCCTGCCTGCCTGGGCTCGGCTCAACCCCGCCCGCTCCCGGACTCCCCTGAGGCCCTGCTGTCGTGGTGTTCCCACAGGGACCGTCACTCACATTCCTCCAGCTTCCACTCAGCCGATGTCCCGGAGGCCGCGGGGGCCCTCAACCTGCTGCAGCCGAGGCCTGTGGTCCTGCAGGGCATGCAGGTGCGCCGGGTGCCCCTGGAGATCCCGGAGGTGAGGAGCGGGGCGGGGCGGCGCGGGGAGGGGTGTTGGTGGCGGGCAGGGCACTGACCCGGGCCCCCAGGAAGGAGCGGCCGTGTAGAGAGCAGCTCCGGGGCCTCCACTGCGTCTGCCCCGCAGCCGGGGGTCCGCCCGCCTGGAGAGGCCGTGTTCGCGGCTCCTCGTCCTGGAGAGGGTTTCCGTTAGCACCGCCTGTTACAGTTGCGGTTCAGTTGGCCAGACCCACCGAGCGCTGGTCCCTCTGCCGGCGCTCCCCACAAGTGACTGCCCGGCGGCCCCGTGCGTGTCCCGGTCTCAGCGTAGCTGTCGGCGGTGCTCCTGTCCCTGCTGAACCCATCCCGATGCAGCTGCTGCCACGCGGCCGGCCCGGGAATACCGGGATGCAAATACCGGAATACGGTGCAAAGCCCAGGCTCCTAGGGCTTGGGGGAAGCTCACGAACGCGTCCCTCACTCACCAGCACCGGCGGCCACAGACAGACTGAGCAGTGCAGAAGCCCCACCCCTTCTTCCCGAGTCACTTGTAACCGTCACAGTACCAGCAGCTGTGTCCTGCAGCTGGTGGCAACCCTGCCCCACTGTGTCCTCAGGCCAGGCCTGCGGCTGGGCCCCGGGAGGCGAGGTCGTTCACCCAGGCCTCACGGTGCCAGGGTGGCGCCCGGTGGTGTGATTTCCCTGTGACCCGCATGTGCTGCCTGCGTGGGCAGCCCGGGACTACAGCCCCTGGCAGCCCCTGGGGACCTGAGAGGTGCAGGCCAGTGTGCTGGGGGTGGGCTGCGACGGACCACATGGGGCGGTGGGGCTGATGGCCGGGCTGTGGGGACTGCAGCCCCTGGGGACCTGAGAGGTGCAGGCCGGTGTGCTGGGCGGTGGGGCTGATGGCCGGGCTGTGGGGACCGCAGCCCCTGGCAGCCCCTGGGGACCTGAGAGGTGCAGGCTGGTGTGCTGGGCGGTGGGGCTGATGGCCGGGCTGTGGGGACCGCAGTTTGACCTGCTGGACCAGGACTCCCTGCACGAATCCCAGGAGCAGACGCTGATGGAGGAGGCCGCGCCCCGCGCCCAGCCCAGCTACAAGTACTGGCTTCTCCCCGGCCGCTGGACCTCTGTGCGCTATGAGCGGCTCGCCCTGCTGGCCCTGCTGGACCGGTGAGTGCCCTTCCGCCTTGCCCTGGGGTGCCCGCCGGGCAGTCGCCAGACCCTGGCCTCCCAGCTTTTGTGCGCCTGTGGAAGCAGTCATGGCGTCAGAAGCTGCTGGGAGGCTGAGGGGTGGGGGTCGTATCTGGCATAGTGGGGGTGCTGGGGCAGGCTGCAGTGGGGTGGGGGCCGCATCTGCAGCACAGTGTGGGGAGGGGCTGGGGCAGGCTGCAGTGGGGTGGGGGCCGTATCTGCAGCGCAGTGTGGGGAGGGGCTGGGGCAGGCTGCAGTGGGGTGGGGGCCGTATCTGCGGCACAGTGTGGGGAGGGGCTGGGGCAGGCTGCAGTGGGGTGGGGGTCGTATCTGCAGCACAGTGAGGGGAGGGGCTGGGGCAGGCTGCAGTGGGGTGGGGGCCGTATCTGCAGCACAGTGTGGGGAGGGGCTGGGGCAGGCTGCAGTGGGGTGGGGGCCGTATCTGCGGCACAGTGTGGGGAGGGGGGCTGGGGCAGGCTGCAGTGGGGTGGGGGTCGTATCTGTGGCAGAGTGTGGGGAGGGGCTGGGGCAGGCTGCAGTGGGGTGGGGGCCGTATCTGCAGCGCAGTGTGGGGAGGGGCTGGGGCAGGCTGCAGTGGGGTGGGGGCCGTATCTGCGGCACAGTGAGGGGAGGGGGGCTGGGGCAGGCTGCAGTGGGGTGGGGGCCGTATCTGCGGCACAGTGAGGGGAGGGGGGCTGGGGCAGGCTGCAGTGGGGTGGGGGCCGTATCTGCGGCACAGTGAGGGGAGGGGGGCTGGGGCAGGCTGCAGTGGGGTGGGGGCCGTATACAGTAATCTCTACTCTCCAAGTCCTGCTTGCAGCAGAAGCCGCTGGCTCGCTTGGCTTTATTTGCCTCCGTGTCAGGTTCGGTTGGGAATTGAATGCTGCGTTCCTCACTTCCCACTTCTGAGGGGACGCTGAGGCCCGGAAAGTCAGGTGACTTGTTCCCTGTAGCAGACTGGAGCCTGGGACCACATCCGGGCTCTCTGTCCGTTTGGGTCTCACCTAGCGCTGAGACCGGGTGCCGGCGGGGTGCTGCTGTGCACACGGGTAGCTTGCCTGCGGTGTGCACGATGATGCAGCCACCTGCACGGCTGCTTGTCAGCCTGGACGGGAGGTGGGCGGGCCCCGGGACCGAGGGCCTCTGGGGGGCAGAGGCTGGGATGCGGAGAGTGACAGGTCAGGTTCCTGGAGCAGGTGCCACCCAGCCTCCCGTGAGGTCACAGGTTTGGGTCTCCAGAGGAGGGGCTGGCACAGAGGCCTGGAGGTGAGCCTGTCCCCCACGCCCCTCAGAAGGGTGAGGCCGGAGGGCCGCGCCCTGACTCGGCGGTCTCTGCAGGACGCGGGGGGTGATGGAGAACGTCTTTGGCGTGGGCCTGAGCAGCCTGGTCGCTTTCCTGGGCTACCTGCTGCTGCTCAAGGGCTTCTTCACCGACATCTGGGTCTTCCAGTTCTGCCTGGTCATCGCCTCCTGCCAGTACTCCCTGCTGAAGGTCAGGCTGCTTCCGCGTCGCCCCCCCCAGCCCCAGCGTCCCCCAGCCGTACCCCTCCCACCACCATTGGGAGGGGAGCGAGCTAGAAAGCAGATCAGGTGCTGCTGGTCCCCTTAGCATTGCCTCTGCCCGCGGTGGCGTGCTGTGTGCAGTCACCAAGTCCCCGGAGTGAGGACAGGTCAGGGCCCTGCCCCAGTCTCCCAGGACTGCGCCATGGTGGAGCTGAGCAGGTCCAGGGCCTCTGACCCTCCTGGCGGCACCAGCTCTCGTTGCCAACGTAGCCCCATCTCTCGTAGAGCGTCCAGCCCGATGCGGCATCTCCCATGCACGTGAGTACCTGTGGAGCAGCGCCTCTTGTCAGGGGGCCCTGGGAGGGGCTGAGGCCGGGGGGGGGGGCAGGTTTCCCTCGCTTCCCCACCCCCACCCCCCTACTCTGGCAGGCTCTCTAGCTTGGCCCCAGGGCCAGACCTGGGTGCATGGATGTTTGTGGTGCCTGGCGGGTGGTCTGCGGAGGGCCTGGCTCCTCACAGCCGCCTCCCCAGGGCCAAACCTGGGTGCGTGGACGTGTGCGGTGCCTGGCGGGTGGTCCGCGGGGGGCCTGGCTCCTCACGGCCGCCTCCCCAGGGCCAGACCTGGGTGCGTGGACGTGTGCGGTGCCTGGCGGGTGGTCCGCGGGGGGCCTGGCTCCTCACGGCCGCCTCCCCAGGGCCACAACTGGGTGATCGCGTACAGCCGGCCGGTCTACTTCTGCATCTGCTGCCTGCTCATCTGGCTGCTGGACGCCCTGGGCGCGGCCCAGCCCTTCCCGCCCGTGTCCCTGTACGGCCTCACGCTCTTCTCTGCCTCCTTCTTCTTCTGCGCACGCGACGTGGCCACTGGTGAGGCTCGTGCAGCGGGGAGGCGGCCGCGGGCGGGGGCTGCGGGGCCGGCGGGCTGACCGGGCCTTCGTCTCCTCCCTGCCAGTGTTCACCCTGTGCTTCCCGTTCGTTTTCCTCCTGGGCCTCCTGCCCCAGGTCAACACCTGCCTCATGTACCTGCTGGAGCAGATAGACATGCATGGCTTCGGGGGCACAGGTGCGCGGGCCCGGGGGGTCTTGGACTGGCCCCGCGGTCCTTGCCGGGCCCCCTCCCGGGCAGGTGGCTAAACCAGAGGATGCTGGGAGCTCTGAGGTCCTCGCAGGGCTGGGTGGGGGACCAGAGGCAGCAGCAGGCGGGGTGGTGTCCCGGGAGGCCCACCTCGGGTCGGGGCAGCAGGGCAGGCGTTAGGTGGGATCCAGCCGGAGGAGCTGGGTCTCACCTGCCCTGCCCACCGCGCAGCCGCCACGAGCCCCCTCACCGCAGTGTTCAGCCTCACCCGCAGCCTGCTCGCCGCCGCCCTGCTCTACGGCTTCTGCCTCGGGGCCATCAAGGTAGGGGAGGCTGGGGGCAGGGGCGTGCTGAGGTTGGGAGCGGCTGGGACAGGGCTGTGGATTGGGCCCGGCAGTGGCTTCTCAGACGGGGGCCCCTGCAGCCCCTACACGCGCCCTCGCCTTCCCTGACCAGCGCGGCTCTCTCCCCAGTCCCCGTGGCCGGAGCAGCACGTCCCTGTCCTCTTCTCCGTCTTCTGTGGCCTGCTGGTGGCGCTGTCCTACCACCTGAGCCGGCAGAGCAGCGACCCCACCGTGCTCTGGTGGGTGCTGCGTGTCCGCGTGTGGCGAGGGTGCTGGGCCCGCGGGTCTGCACGTTCCCGGCGCCCACTGACCCGTCTTCTCCCGACTCCTGCTCGCCCGCAGGTCTCTGATCCGGAGCAAGGTCTTCCCGGAGCTGGAGGAGCGCAGCCTGGAGACAGCCCGAGCCGAGCCCCCGGACCCGCTGCCAGACAAGATGCGCCAGTCGGTGGTACGAGGCGGGACCAGGAGGCCGTGGGGCCGTGGCTGGGAGGCGGCAGCAGGTGCGGGGTCCTGGGTGGCTGTGGGCAGCCACGCTGCTCTCTGACCTGCAGCGGGAGGTCCTGCACTCCGACCTGGTGATGTGTGTGCTGATCGCCGTGCTTACCTTCGCCATCAGTGCCAGCACCGTCTTCATCGCGCTGAAGGTGCGTGTGGTCCAGCCGGGTCCTTGCCCTTGGTCTTGGCAGCCCAGGGGCCCCGGGCAGCTTCTTCCCAGCCTGGGCCAGGTGGTCCCCGCGGCCCCTGGGCCTGTGCGCCTGGCCTGAGCCCCGCCCCTCCGTCTTGCAGTCAGTGCTGGCTTTCGTGTTGTACGCGCTGGCCGGGGCCGTGGGCTTCTTCACCCACTACCTGCTGCCGCAGCTCCGCAAGCAGCTGCCCTGGTTCTGCCTCTCTCAGCCCGTGCTCAAGCCGCTGGAGTACAGCCAGTACGAAGTGCGTGGTGAGTGCACCCTCCTGCCCTGCTGGCCTGGCCGGGCCTGGGCGTCGGCTCTGGCTGGAGCTGCTGCCTGGTGGGAGCTGTAGCTCTCGAGCCTGAGCTGCCAGCAGGGGGCAGCCTCTGCCCATGCCACCCTCTGTGTGCTGACCCTGGTCTGCCCTGCTGCTGTCCCTTCCCTGTCCTGTCTCTGCCCACTCTCATCGTGCCTGGCTCAGGCCTTCCGTGCCCCCCCCTTGCCTGCGCCAGCCCTCTCCTGCCGTCTTGGCACTGGAAGTGGAGGTCCAGAGCCCTGCGGGAGCCTCTTGTCCAGGGGGCACGCTGCGTGCTGTGGGGGGAGCTGCCTGCTGTGGGTTTTCGCTGAGCTGTGTAGTGCTGTCAGAAAAGCTCCGGCCCGTGTTTAAACACCGTGCTTTGTCCTGTGGAGGTCACGGTCCTTATTTCTGTAAGCAGTGGGAGGTTGTCCTGTGGAGGTCACGGTCCTTATTTCTGTAAGCAGTGGGAGAGGGAGATTTTTGCCCCCCACCCCAGGTCAGCATCCCCGTGTGTCTGGGGTTAGCTCCCACCAGGGGGATGCCCCTCAGAAAGGCCTGCAGCCCGCGATCCCAGGCAGCGTGGCCCTTGCTGCCCCTCACGGGCATCGAGTTCCCTGTCAGCCGTGTTTCCGCAGACAGCAGAACAGGGCGGGCGGTCTGCCCTGGCCCCCGCCGTGTCCTGCCACCTCCCAGCCCCACCCCACCCTGCCCCAAGTCTCTAGGAGCCAGCACAGCCCCTGGCTTGCCCGCCCTTGGGGAGGGCCAGGGCCGGCCGGCAGCTCCGCCTCTCGTGGCAGGTGCCGCCCAGGTGATGTGGTTCGAGAAGCTGTACGCCGGCCTGCAGTGCGTGGAGAAGTACCTCATCTACCCTGCCGTGGTGCTGCACGCCCTCACGGTGGACGCCCACACTGTCGTCAGCCACCCAGACAAGTTCTGCCTGCAGTGAGGACCCCCCACATCCCGTCGCCTCCCTTCCCACTTGATGTAGGGGAAACCGAGGCCCACAGGGAAATAGACACTGTCCATTGAAGCGCCTGCCCTTTTGAAAGCCGATGTGCCCCCCTTCACCGCCCGTAGGGGGCAGACTGAGGGTCGCTGGCCCAGCAGAGCTGAGGCCTGGGGTTGCACTCAGGCCAGGGTAGGAGAGGGATGACCGAGGTCACCTGTACCCACCCAGCGCCTGCTGTCTGCCCGTCATCCACAGCTGCCGGGCGCTGCTGATGACCGTGGCTGGGCTGAAGCTGCTGCGCTCGGCCTTCTGCTGCCCGCCCCAGCAGTACCTGACCTTGGCCTTCACTGTGCTGCTCTTCCACTTCGACTACCCACGCCTCTCCCAGGGCTTTCTGCTCGACTACTTCCTCATGTCCCTGCTGTGCAGCAAGGTGAGCGGTGACTGGCCCAGGCGCCCGGCTGCCAAGCCGTCTGCTTGGCTGGGGGAGGCTTAGCCCAGGCCGAGCCCTGGCCCCGCTGCCCCGGGCCAGCCCTGCTGTCGGCCTCCTCCCGCTCTCTAGACAGGACCGAGGCTTAGACAGGAGGCGTGAGTTGCCTTGGTCCTCCCGAGAGTGAGTTGGCCAGGCCTCGACCCCGGGTCTGTCTGATCCCCCGACTGCCACCCTCGGAAGCAGTTAGGACAGTCGGGACCCACCGTTCTCCGGGACCTGACCCCTGGGCTCTGCCCTCCGCCAGCGCAGCCCTGGAGAGCCGTTCAGAGCTGTTTCAGGAGGCACAGGGCCCGAGTGTGCACATGCCCTTCCCGGTGGTTCCTGCTCAGGGCGGCTCGCAGTGGTGCCGGGGGCGCCACGCAGGCTGCTCCAGCGTGGCAGGTGTCCATGGCACAGGCCACACGAGTTACCCTCTCCCGTCTTTCTGACCCTGGGCTTCCCCATCTGTGCCATGGGCCAGCAGGAAGAAGCTCCCAGGATCACTGTGTGAACTGAATGGCTAGTGCCCCCCAGAGCTGTTCAGGGTTGTATTGGTGTCAGGTGCCTGGAGCCAAGTTCAAAGAGAAAGGGCTGGGAGTGGCCTTGAGCTTGGTCCCACGTGGCCTGAATGAAGCCTGGGGGCTGTGCAGACGCCACCTCCGCGGTGACCCCGTGTGTGACTGTGTGACCCCGTGTGTGACTGTGTGACCCCGTGTGTGACCCGTGTGTCTCTCACCTCGGGCCGACTCCGCCAGCTCTGGGACCTGCTCTACAAGCTGCGGTTCGTGCTCACCTACATCGCCCCCTGGCAGATCACCTGGGGCTCGGCCTTCCACGCCTTCGCCCAGCCCTTTGCTGTGCCACGTATCCGGCTGCCGCCTGCGGTCTGGCTGGGGAGTGCGAGGAGGGCTGTGGCCGGGGCGGGGGGCGGGGGGCGGGAGGGCCCTGGGCTGCCGCCGCCTCCTTGACTCGCGCGCAGACTCGGCCATGCTGTTCGTGCAGGCCCTGCTCTCGGGGCTCTTCTCCACGCCGCTCAACCCCCTGCTGGGCAGCGCCGTCTTCATCATGTCCTACGCCAGGCCTCTCAAGTTCTGGGAGCGGGACTACAAGTGAGGCCCGCGGAGCCCGCAGCGGGGAGGGCAGGGCGGGGCTGGGCTGTGGGGCGCCCGTCCCTGAACTTGTGCTTCCTCGTCGGTGTGCTGGGGCCGTTGTGGATACGTGATCTCGGCGCTCAGGAGTGGGCCTCGAGGGACCCTGCTGGGCAGGGCCGGGGCCCAGCGGGCTCGCTGCGGGGCGGTGGACGTTGGTGGACGTTGTCACCTGCGTGGTCAGCGACTGTCGTTCTCTCCCGGAGCAGCACTAAGCGTGTGGATCATTCCAACACCCGCCTCGTCACCCAGCTGGACCGGAACCCCGGTGGGTCCCCGCCCAGCGTGCTGGGGGCCGGTCCTCCCCAGGGCGGGAGCTTGCTCCCTCGTCACCCGGTCCCTTGTCTGCCGCGTCCCCAGGCGCTGACGACAACAACCTCAACTCCATCTTCTACGAGCACTTGACGCGCTCTCTGCAGCACACGCTGTGCGGGGACCTGGTGCTGGGCCGCTGGGGCAACTACGGCCCCGGCGACTGCTTCGTCCTGGCCTCCGACTACCTCAACGCCCTCGTGCACCTCATCGAGGTTGGCAATGGCCTGGTCACCTTCCAGCTGCGTGGCCTTGAGTTCCGGGGTGAGCTGCGGGGCCGAGACTGGGAGGGGGCAGGCGTGGCCCCGAGACGGTGCCGGGAGGCTGGTGCTCAGTCCCGCTCTGCCCTGTCCCCTCCCTGACCCTGGGTCCCGAGTGGCTGCACGGCACTGTGGGGAGCTGGGGCCCGGAGCTCTGGGTTCTCCTGCCAGGCCCTCCTGGCTCCTCTGTGTCAGGCGAGGCCGTGATCAGGCACGGCGGGACCCCCAGTGAGGCAGCCTCCCCCGTCGGACGCCAGCTTCAGAAGAGGCCCCCGGGTGCGAGGGCTGGGGGCTCGAGCAGATCCCCGCCCTGTGCATTTCAGCCGGACCCCGGTGCCCTCCACCCTGCCCTGGTGTGGCTGCGGGAAGTCAGGAGAAAGGGGACACGCGGAGTCCTGCGGGGGAGGAGGGGGCAGCCGGCCTCAGGCACTGTGCTGGGTGCTGGGTGCTGGCAGGGGGCAGCAGGGCTGTCCTCGCGGCCGCTGCCAGGGTGTCCCTCCCACAGGCACCTACTGCCAGCAGCGGGAGGTGGAGGCCATCACCGAGGGGGTGGAGGAGGACGAGGGCTGCTGCTGCTGCGAGCCTGGCCACCTGCCGCGCGTGCTGTCCTTCAACGCCGCCTTCGGGCAGCGCTGGCTGGCCTGGGAGGTGACGGCCAGCAAGTACGTGCTGGAGGGCTACAGCATCAGCGACAACAACGCCGCCTCCATGCTGCAGGTCTTTGACCTCCGCAAGATCCTCATCACCTACTACGTGAAGGTACGGCAGGCGGCGGGCCGGCCTGAGCGCGCGCCGGCCGCAGCCTGCCCCACCCGTCTTCCGGGGCTCGGGCATGCACGGGCCTCAGCGAAGCACCCTCCAAGTGCCACTTGCGACCGCAGGCCCCGGAGGCCTGGTGTGGCTCGGGGATCGGGCACTCGGTCCAGGCGCTCGCTCCTCCTGGAGGCCTGCTTGGCAGTGTGCGCGGGGCAGGTGCACAGCACGAGCGTGGATTCTCACTGGGCTGCCGCTCCCAGGAGGGCGTTTGCTGAGGCCAGCCTTGGAGGCCACCCACCCCCACCCCACCCGGCAGACACTGCTAGCAGCATTCTCGCACGGTGATGGCAGGTGCAGCCACGGGGCAGGGGTGCTTACCACGGGCCGAGCTCTGGCTGGGAGGTTCACACCCCTCCGAGGGGAGCCTCAGGTCTCCCGGCATGGGAGTGAAGTGGTGGGCCTGGGGGCGCCAAGCCAGGCCCGCGGGTCTTGAGATGTGCTGGGACAGCGGGGGTTGAGGAAGCACAGTGTGGCCTGCGGAAGGGCTCCGGGCAGTGGCCTGGAACGTCACCCCTGCTGTGCCATACTCTCCTCCCTGGAGGAGTGCAGGCGCTCTGGTTCTGTGAGTGCCGTGGGCATCGGGGGGTGATGGTCACAGCCCGGGACCCCCTGTGTCCTCTCAGGCAGTGGGCTGCTCACCTCAGGTTCCCTCTGGCGAGTCCCAAGCAGCCCCAGCTTCGCCTTGCTCCCTCGAAGGTCTCAGCTGTGTCACACGTCAGAGGAGCTGTGGTTTCCGTCACTGTCCCCCGGGCGTCCTGCAGGAGGGAGAGCGGCCCGTGGTGGCCCTCACCAGGAACGAGGCTGTGGTCTAGGGATGTGGTCCTGACCCATCTGAGGGCGGCGACCTTGCCCAGGTTACTGCTGCCTCCTGCGAGTCTGCTCAGGCCTTGGGTGGCTTCCGGTGCCTCAGGCACCCACCGGGGTTATTCCCTTGGGGAGGCCAACTTGCCACCGCTTTGGCTGCCTCAGAGGCTGGACAGAATCAGCCAGCTGGCGGTGCCCGGGGGCCTGGGCAGGCTCTGCAGACCTGGGGATGGGTCAGGGCTGCGGGGGCAGGGCCTGGGCCAGTGTAGGGGCACGTCCTCGCCAGCCTTCGAGGTAGGCCAGGCCCGGCCGCGCTCTGCAGCATTGGCTCCCCTGGGAGTCGGGAGTGCAGTCCAGCCCTGTGGCCTGAGATTGGCCCCACATCCAGCTGCAGCCGGGCCCGGCCTGGGGCTCCTCCCAGCTCTCCCCAGCCGTACCCTTGAGTGGTTTCGGAGGAGGCAGGGCCAGCGAGGAATCTCTGGCTCAGACACGCCCCTGCTTCTGGCCAGGCGCTGACCGCGAGGTCGGAGCTGCTCCGTGGCTTGGGCTCGCAGGCTGGCACCGTTACCGGTGCTGGACCTGGGTCTCCCTTTCCTCCTGACAGCCACTGCGAGGGTTGTGTCACAGAGCACAGTGGTGGTGGCGAAAGTGAACCCTTGGCAAGCGGCCAGTTTCCAAATGTGCCGTTCCTGAGTGTCCTGGGGCTGTGGTGGAGCCCGGCCTGCAGAGCCGCTCCCCGGGCGGGGGGGCCGGAAGCCGAAGCTGCCCCCAGCCTTGCTGCACCGCTCACCCCATGAGGTTTGGCAAGGGGGTGGCAGGCTGGCGCTGCAGAGCCCCTGTCCCTGGGAGCTGTCTGCAGCCCGTGACCTTCCTAGCTTGTTCCCAGTCATCTTGCCGACTCGGCCTCCCTGCGCCGTGCCCTGCTGGACACCTGCTGCCTGGTGCCCTCTGTTTACGGCCAGCTGCGGCGCCCTCCCACCCATCCCCAGGCAAAGCGCCAGTCCCATCTGCTCCGTCTCGGGTTGGCACACAGATTCCCCACCACCACATTGGCCGCCAGTTCCCAGCCTGCACTGCCATGCCCCTGCTGGGCCAGCCCCGGCCCTCCCGAGGCTGTGTCCACTGTGCTGGAAACCAGCAGGGCCTGTTCAGGGGCCCGGGGGCTAGCGTGGCACAGCCAGTGAAGCTGCCGCCCGCGGAGCTGTGTCCTTTGAGCCCCAGCTACTCTGCTTCTGGCCCAGCTTAAGGCAGCGGAGGACGGCCCAAGGCTCCGACTGCTTCTACCCTTGGGGGAGACCTGGATGGAGTTCCTGGATTCTCCTTTTTTTTTTAAAACTTGGAAGTCAGAGCAACACAGAAAGAGAAGGAGGGGCACAGAGAGAGAGAGAGGTCTTCCATCCACTGGTTCACTCCCCAATTGGCTGCAACGGCCGGAGCTGCGCAGATCCGGAGCCAGGAGCCAGGAGCCTCCTCCAGGTCTCCCACGCGGGTGCAGGGGCCCAAGCACTTGGGCCATCCTCCACTGCTTTCCCAGAACATAGCAGAGAGCTGGATCGAAGTGGGGCAGCCGGGACTCGAACCGGTGCCCATATGGGATGCTGGCACTGCAGGCGGTGGCTTTACCTGCAGCGCCACAGCGCTGCCCCCAAGTTCCTCGATGCTTGCTTCGGCCTGTCCTAGTCCTGACTTGTGGGCCATCTGGGGAGTGAACTAGGAGATGAAAGATCCGTCTTCCCCTCCAACTGTGCTTTTCAAGTAAATAAATAAATCTTTTAAAGTGTAATGACAGTGAGGGGTCCAGGAGCCACTAGCCGGGGGCACAGCAGTGGTGCTCTGTTTTCTGAGGGGGACCTTAGGACTCCTGCGCTTCAGCTGCCTGACGAGCCCTGGGCCCCGGCCCGTAGGCCTCTGGGCCTGCTGCGCCGGCCTGACTTCCGCCTGGCTGAGTGGACGCAGAGTTACAGGGCAGGGGTGGGTGCAGAGACAGAGGTCTTCTCGCCACTGTTCACTCCCAAGTGGCCACAACGGCCGGAGCTGCACCAGTCTGCAGCCAGGAGCTTCCTCCGGGTCTCCCACATGAGCCCAGGGGCCCAAGCACTTGGGTCATCTCCCACTGCTTTGCTAGGCGCGTCAGGGAGCTGGATCGGAAGTGGAGCAGCCGGGAAGGGAACCAGCACCCATTTGGGATGCGGTGCCGCAGGCAGTGGTTGATGCGCCCTGCCACAGTGCTGGCCCCCGCAGCCTGACTCCTGTATCCCACAGCGTCACGGGGGCTCGTATTCCTGTCCAGGCCACCCTGCCACATGCCATCAGGCAAGCTGGCATCCGCCTGAGCCTCAGTTTCCCTTACAGACGGGGCAGAGTGTGGGGCTGGCGCCAGGAGCCAGGCACACGCTGCCTGGGAGCCCCTGTCCCGGCGATGGCCTCTCCTTCCCGGCCTAGGCGAGGGGCCGAGGTGGGCCGGAGTGGGAGCCCCTGTCCCGGCGATGGCCTCTCCTTCCCGGCCTAGGCGAGGGGCCGAGGTGGGCCGGAGGAGGTGGGTGTTTAGCTCGGTGTGGGGAGAAGCCTCTGGCACTGAGGCTGTCTCCGGGGGCGGGGCGTCCCCACCCTGTCCCACCCCCTCTGCAGAGCATCATCTACTACGTGAGCCGTTCCCCGAAGCTGGAGTCCTGGCTGAGCCACGAGGGCATCGCCACCGCCCTGCGGCCTGTGCGGGCCCCCGGCTACGCTGACTCGGACCCCACCTTCTCGCTGAGTGTGGACGAGGACTACGACCTCCGGCTTTCTGGTCTCTCGCTGCCCTCCTTCTGCGCCGTGCACCTCGAGTGGATCCAGTACTGCGCCTCCCGGCGTGGCCAGGTTGGGGCGCCACCACCCTGGGGCTCTGGGAACCAGGGCTTGCCCACGTCTCTGCTCTGAGCACCCCCCCCCCCCCAGGCCTGGGCCCCGGGCTGCCGGCCCCCACCCACCTGTTTTGTCCCAGGTCTGAGCTGAGCTCTGGGGATGGGGGTCTCTCTCACAGCCTGTGGAGCAGGATTGGAACTCACCGCTGGTGACGCTGTGTTTCGGCCTGTGCGTGCTGGGCCGCCGGGCCCTGGGGACCGCCTCTCACAGCATGTCGGCCAGGTGAGTGTGGTGGGTGCAGCTGGGCCTCTTACGCCACACCCTTCTCCCTGTAGCCCCTCTGCGTGGGCGGGGCGCCTCCCGGTCCCCAGGCTCTGTGAGGCTCGTGGGCAGACGCCCCGCACGACGGGGAAACCGGGCAGGGGTTTCAGCTCGGGTCACGGCAGCCTGAGGCCCCGGCTCCTCCCTGCCCCCATGCCCACCTCCCGGCTCCTCCTTCCCCGCCAGCCTGGAGCCCTTCTTGTACGGGCTGCACGCCCTGTTCAAGGGGGACTTCCGCATCACCTCCCCGCGGGACGAGTGGGTCTTCGCCGACATGGACCTGCTGCACCGCGTGGTGGCGCCTGGGGTCCGCATGGCCCTGAAGCTTCACCAGGTGGGGAGGGTGTGCCGGTGGGCGGGCAGGAGGGCGATGCGGCCTCTCCCCAGGGCAGGGCCCCTGACCGGCCCTCCCCGCTGCAGGACCACTTCACGTCCCCTGACGAGTACGAGGAGCCGGCGGCACTGTACGACGCCATTGCGGCCAACGAGGAGCGGCTGGTCATCTCGCACGAGGGCGACCCGGCCTGGCGCAGCGCCATCCTCAGCAACACGCCCTCGCTGCTGGCCCTGCGCCATGTCCTGGACGACGCCTCGGACGAGTACAAGATCATCATGCTCAACCGGCGCCACCTCAGCTTCCGCGTCATCAAGGTGGGGACGGCCCCCGGCCCTGCCCCCCAGCCCCGCCGCTGACCCACCCCACCCCGATCCGGCCCCGCCCGGCTGCTGACCCCGCCCAGCCGCTGACCCCACCCCACCCCGATCCGCCCCGCCCGGCCCCGCCCCGCTCTGCGCTGCCCCGCCCGGCCCCGCCCCGCCGCTGACCCCGCCCCTGCCCGGCCCCGCCCCGCCGCTGACCCCGCCCCGCGCGGCCGCCCGCAGGTGAACCGGGAGTGCGTGCGTGGCCTGTGGGCCGGGCAGCAGCAGGAGCTGGTGTTTCTGCGCAACCGGAACCCCGAGCGCGGCAGCATCCAGAACGCCAAGCAGGCGCTGCGCAACATGATCAACTCCTCCTGCGACCAGCCGCTCGGCTACCCCATCTACGTGTCGCCGCTCACCACCTCGCTGGCCGGCAGCCACCCGCAGCTGCGCGCGCTGTGGGGCGGGCCCGTCAGCCTGGGCACCGTCGCCCGCTGGCTCCTGCACAGCTGGGAGAGGTGAGCCCTGACCCCCGCCCGCGCCCCCCTGGAGCGTGGCCAGGAAGTGCCCCCGCACCCCCCGCAGGTGTCGCCTCCCCCGCCGGCTGCAGCGCAGTCAGGGTGCCCCCCCCGCCTGGCTGTGGAATCTGATCAGGGAGGGCGACGCCGGGGCCCGGGGCCGTCCCGGGCTGTCCCGGGCTGGGACCTGTGCTCGTGCGGCCCCTGCCTCAGCCCTGTCGCCTCGACCCCCTCCGCCCCTCCCCCCACAGGCTTCACAAGGGCTGCGGCGCCGGCTGCAACAGCGGCGGCAACGTGGATGAGGCAGACTGCGGTGGGGGCGGCCTGACCTCGCTCAGCAGTAACCCCCCCTTGGCACAGCCCACGCCCGAGAACGCAGCAGGTGAGCAGCGGGCGGGCTGGCCCCGCGGTGGCGAGGGCGCCGGCTGAAGCGTCTGCTCTTATCTGTCCCCACAGGCAGCAGTGACCAGCCCCTCCCACCGGGCCCTGGCTGGGGGCCACAGCCACCCCTGAGCTCTGGCTCCGGGGATGGGCGGCCCCCCCCCTCGCTGCAGTGGCCTCCCCCTCGGCTCCCTGGAGCGCCCCCCGCCTCGCCTGCCCCTGCTGAGGGTCCCCGACCCTCACGGCCCCCTGGCCCTGGGCTCCTCAGTTCCGAGGGACCCAGTGGGAAGTGGAGCCTTGGAGGTCGGAAGGGGCTGGGAGGATCCGATGGGGAGCCAGCCTCAGGGAGCCCCAAAGGAGGCACCCCCAAATCTCAGGTAAGGGGCCTACGGGAGGGCCGGGTCCCGGGGGCTCGGGCGCTCGCCCACCTGCCTGTCTGCTCTCCCCCAGGCGCCTCTGGACCTCAGCCTCAGCCCGGACGCCTGCGCCGAGGCCTCGCCCCCCAGAGCAGCCCAGGACGCCCCTTGCTTGGACAGCGGTGTCGCTGAGAGCGGCACGCCCGCCGGGGCCCTGGCGGACTGGCCAGCCCCTGCCAAGGAGCGCGAGAGCCCGGCCGCCCAGCCCTTGTTGGAGCACCAGTACTGAGCGGCCGGCGCCCACCGGACCCTGTCCCTGACTCGGACCCAGCCCTCTGCAGCCTCTGGCCCTCTCTGCTGGACCACAGAACGGAGTGGCCTGGGCTCCCCCGTCTGAACCCTGACCTCTGGCTGTGTCAGCCAGAGTCCTAGAACTGACGGCCAGGACTGTGACCCCTGACCTCATCCCTAGTCCTTGGCCTGGGCTCCCCAATGTGAGGGGGTCGGCCTCCCAGCCAGGGCCTGGAGCCAAACCCGTGGGGCTGGTCCCACGTTGAGCCCCTGTGGACCGACTCAGCCCCTGGGCCTGCGCTGTCCGTGGGGCGGTCCTCGTGGCCAGGACCTGGGGCCGGACATGTGGCAAGGGTGGTTTCTTTCTTTTTTTTTTTTTTTTTTGGTCATTTTTTTTTCCTTTTTTTTCCCGTGCTTTGGAGACACCAGAATTAATAACACTATTTTTGATTTTGGTCGGCAGTTTCTTCTTCCGGTGGGGAATGGTGGGTACGAGGTGGAGGAGGTGGCCGGCTGACGGGGTGAGGGGCGGGCAGGGTCAGGCAGGTGGGGCCGAGGCGGGCCTGGGTCCCCTTCTCAAGCCTTGGTCTGGAGGTCTTGCGTCAGCTTCCCGCCTCCAGACGCCCACACTTCCTGCTCCTGGGCTCCTACGGCTGTCAGCCTCGACCTCGGCCGAAGCCCTTCCCGGGAGCCCGGGTGATAGGAGCCGTAGGGCGCTGGCAGCACCCGTGTACGGTGCTTTAGGAAGAAACGAGGCAGCGAGCGCCCGGAGGCACCTGCTGTCCGTGTGCCCGGGGCTCTGCGCTCGGGGTCCTGGGGCACTTGTTGCCGTTTCTCAGCGAGGACACAGGCCGAGGCCGAGGGTGGCAGAGGCCCCCCAGCCCACCCGGGCCGGGCTTCGGACACCGCGTGGCGCTGACCACCCCTGGGCCTGGATTCCCGCCAGAGCTGCTGCTTCCCGCCGCAGCAGCGCTCGGCCGGCCCCGCCCCCCGCCGCGGCCCCGCCCCTCCCTGGCCCCGCCCCCAGGCGGAGCCGGCGCCCGGAGCGGTAGCGGGAGAGCAGGCAGCTGGACCCCAGCGCGGGAGGCGGCGGCCGGGCGGGAGCCCCCGAGGTACCGGCGGGAGCGGGGGTCGGGAGGCACCGCGAACTGGGCGAGGGACCAGGCGGCCCGGCCGTGGCCCCGGTGGCGCTGTGTGTGGGGGGGAGCGAGGTCCTTGCCACGCTCGCCGCCTGCACCCTCCCAATCTTCCTTCGGGTTGCAGCTGAATCCCGAGTCAGCGTGTCCAGCCCCCTGCCTCTGGCCACAGGCCCCCGCTCCCTGCTCTGCGGGATGGCCTAGCTCGGCCTGTGAACGGTGAGTGGATGCCGCGGCTCCTGGCTCCTTCTGGCCCCGCTGGCAGCTGCTCTGGCTGCCGGGTGTGTGCGGGGCTCCCCCCACCCCCCGTGCTGGGGCTCCCATCCTCTGTGGGCGGCCTCCCCTTGCCTGCACACCGCCCCCCAGCCTTGGCCTGGCCTGGAGGAAACATCTGTCTCGCCCCCTGGCAACAGAAGTGGGGTCGTGACCTCCAGATGTGTTGGGAATCTTCCAGCGCCTCCTCCTGGGGCAGCCAGGCCTTCCGGATCCGTGGGGGCGGGGCCACCCCTTCCCCTCGGTGACACAGGCCGAGAGGAATGTCCCGGCCTCAATGGACCCTGTGTGCAGCCGTGGGACAGGGGGCAGAGCCTGAGAACACCCCAAGGCAGGGCCAGGGCCCGGCACTGGGCCAGAGCAGCAGGCAGCCCCCGGGCTGGGTGCACACACATCCAGGGAGCTCGGCCCACACGGAGCAGGGGCCGGCAGACTCCTGCTGCCACACGCACGCCGCGCCAGGCCCGAGCCGCACGTGCACGTGTCCCTGTGGTCTGGGGAGGGCACGGGGTAGGTAACCCATTTCAGAGATGAGAGATAGAGGCTCGAGGTCAGCCTCAGGGCGCGTCCCAGGAGGGACCGAGCTTTGGCCGCCTGCCCTTGCTCGGTTGGCTCTGGAGGCCCCGGCTGAGGGGTGCACGGAGCCGCCGTCCCCACCTCCTCCTGGCCCAGCCTGCACGGCGTCGCCATGGGTGTGCGGAGACTTAGCCACAGAGGCCTGCGCCCGCGGCTCCCCTCCCCTCCCCTCCGTTTGCACCTGACCCTGGCCTCACCGCACTTCCTCACTCAGCGAGTCCCTGGGGCCTTGGGTGTCTCAGTCTTACATCCTGTGAGGCCTTGAGCCTCGGCCCAGCCCCCCACGCCACACCTACGCACACAGGCACGGGAAGGGGCAGGTGCAGCTCTCTGAGGCCCTGGCGGAGAGACTCGGGTCCCCATCCCCGCTCCGCTGTGGATTTCAAGGTCTGAAAGGCGCTCGGCGCCCGCCTCTCCCCGGAGTTCCCATCAGCTGCTCCCTCTGCAGGGTGGGCCCTCGCGTCCCTCAGGCCAGGGCGACTGGGGTCTCGTGACCAAGCGGCTGTGACCCAGCACCTTCCTCAGGATACAGGGGCCGGCAGGGGGCTAGGGCCAGAGCTGGGCCACTTCCTGCCCGAAGGGAGTCCTCTTGCCATTGCTGTTGCATGGGCACTGCCCCCCACGGCCGGAATCCCTGTCCTTGAGCTGCCGCAGCGGCGGGCGCCAGGGCATCGAGCAGGCCCTGGGTGCCGGGCTCCTCGGGACCCTGCAGGAAGTGGGAGGGGTGGGGAGGAAGGTCTCGGGGGACAGGACGTCCTCCCTTTGTTGGGCTGGCAGGACCCAGACACCAGTGGCCCCTGGGTTTCCCGTCCGAGCTGAGACCATGGGGTGTCCAGTTGGGCCAGGTCTAGGTGGGGGCCGTCTCACTGGGCCCAGGAAAAAGCCAAGGCGTGTGGGTGGGAACCGGGGGGCCCCGGCAGGCCTAGGGCTGCCGAGGTGCCGGGACCTTCCAGGCCGAGGCACCAAGAGTCCGGGGCCCTGGCCCTGCCCGGCGCTAGGCCAGGGAGGGGTCTGGAAACCTCAGCCCTAGGCAGACGAGGAAGCGGCCAGGAAAGAGGAAGCAGCTTTGATGGTCTCGGAGCGGGCCGGAAGCCAGCCCGGGTGGTTGGAGGACCAGGCTGGGGGCCCTGGGTTCCTGTTTGCTCCCCAGGCCCCTCTGAGCAGCCCCCTCCTCCTTCAGGGCAGGAACCCCGGCCCGCCGGCGGGGCACCAGGCATCCGTGCCCACCAATGCAGCCCGGCCCCTGGAGAGCCAGGCCCACAGAGCACGCCCATGTGGGCCGGCGGCGTGGGGAGCCCTCGGCGGGGCATGGCCCCTGCGCCCACGGACGACCTCTTCGCCCGCAAGCTGCGCCAGCCGGCCCGGCCCCCGCTGACGCCGCACACCTTTGAGCCCAGGCAACCCCGGGGCCCGCTCCTGCGCAGCGGCAGCGATGCGGGCGAGGCCCGGCCCCCCACGCCAGCCAGCCCGCGGGCGCGGGCCCACAGCCACGAGGAGGCCAGCCGCCCTGCTGCGGCCCCCACCCGGCTCTTTACGGACCCACTGGCACTGCTGGGGCTGCCGGCCGAGGAGCCGGAGCCCGCCTTCCCGCCGGTGCTGGAGCCCCGATGGTTTGCCCACTACGATGTGCAGAGCCTGCTCTTTGATTGGGCTCCAAGGCCGCGGGGGGCGGGGAGCCACGCGGAGGCCGGCTCTGGGACCCCGGCTGCAGCCGAGGACCAGGTCACCAGCTCGGACCTGCTGCTCGGGGCCCCCGGCTTTGTGAGCGAGCTCGGGGGCGAGGGTGAACTAGGTCTGGGCGGGACCGTGTCTCCACCTGTGCCCCCTGCACTGCCCAACGCGGCCGTGTCCGTCCTGGAGGAGCCGCAGAGCCGCACCTCGGCCTACAGCCTGGAGCATGCGGACTTCGGTGCTGGCTACTACCGCAAGTACTTCTACGGCAAAGGTGAGGGGCGCTGGGCCCAGGGAGGCCGGCTGGGGTGGGGTCTCTCACCTGGTGCCGGCCGCGGGAGCGGAGTTAGGCCCCACTGAGCCACCTGTAGCCAGCCCCTGGAGGCCAAGCCCTGGGCCTTGGCCCCCTGCCTCCTTCTGGATCATTCTATCCAGAATGGCCGGAAGCCTTGTCCTCACCGCTGTGGGGAGACAGGGCACCAGGGCAGGGAGGGGGGCGATCTGGATGTGGTGGGCGGGGCCAGGGCGCATCTCAGCCTGGGCACAGGCAGGCGCTGGGCCCTTGACTGGGGCAGAGCGTGATGGGGCGGCACTGGGCCTAGGGCCCGCCCCTCCTGAGCCGGGCCCGACCCCCCAGAACACCAGAACTTCTTCGGGCTGGACGAGGCGCTGGGCCCCGTGGCCGTGAGCCTGCGGCGGGAGGAGAAGGAGAGCAGCGGCGGGGGCACCCTGCACAGCTACCGGGTCATCATTCGGACCACGAAGGTGGGCGGGCTGGCGGGCTCGGGGGGGGGGGCTCCCCCACGCCCCGTCTGGGTCCTGAGGCCCCTGCACCCCCTCTCAGCTCCGGACCCTCCGAGGCACCATCTCGGAGGATGCGCTGCCGCCCGGGCCCCCGCGGGGCCTGTCCCCCCGGAAGCTGCTGGAGCACGTGGCGCCCAGGCTGAGCCCCACCTGCCTGCGCCTGGGCTCCGCCTCCCCCAAGGTCCCCCGCACGCTGCTCACCCTGGACGAGCAAGTGGTGAGTGGGGGGCGGCCACACCCACCCTGCCAGGTTCTGGGGCCCCACCTCAGCCCCACTGAATCTCTGTTTTGGGAAGACCCCCCGGGGACACATAGGGACGGTACCGCCCTGGAGTAACAGCCCGAGGCTCCTGCCACTAGGTCCCCAGTCCTGGCCCATTTGCCCTGCAGCCCCCGCTTGGTCTTCCTCTCCGTCCGGGGCGCTCACTCCTTCCTGCAGCTGCCCACAACCTGCAAGGGTCAGGCCGGTTGGAAGGCCTGCGCTATGCTGTGCTGCAGGCAGCCGTTAGCCCTGGTGCTCCTTCTCTGTGCCTTCAATCCATCAGTCACTCAACAAGCATTCCTCCAACTGTGGGTGCCAGACCAGGTGTTTTCCTTGAGTAGATCAGGGGGCCGGGAATGTTGGGAACTCTGGGGGACACAAAGGCGGTGAGCACCAGGAGCCCTTCCTGAGCCAGGGTCCCACATCAGGGAGCAAATGGAGAGCTCGGGCCAGGATCCGCAGTGCCGTCTGGGCGGGTGCAACCAGGCCCGGACTGACTGCAGGCGCCGGGAGCCAGCTCAGCCCTGGACAGGCCTGTGGGGGGGTGGGGTGCGCTTGCATTTGGCTCCGTGGGTGCTGGGGAGCCATGAAGGATTCAAAGCTGACCCGAGGGGTACAGTGGCGCCCTGGTTGCAGCGTGGGGACCGGACTCGGGGGAGGGCGGGGAGGCCAGGGGGAGGGCTGCCACAGCTGTCCAGAGACATGAGAGCCGCATGGTGGGCTGGAGAGGAG